CTCAATTACAAGAGGAAACTGTGCTGAGAATAATTGGAATAATAAAGAGGAAGAGATCAAAACAGAGCTGGAACAATGGAAAGTCTCAAATTATAAAACCAAGATTCAAATCATTAAAACTTTTGTTTTGTCCAAATTGCTGTTCTTAGCCACAGTTTTCCCCCCCAATGATAAATGTATCATGAGGCTAAATAAAATGTGTGTGCGATTCATTTGGGGCACCTCAAGGGAAGTCACTAAAAGGGAAATTTTATATAAATCTAAAACTTTAGGAGGTCTTGGTGCAATGGACATTGGTTTAAAACTTAAAATAGCTTATTGTAAAATGGTAGCACAGGCAATAAAGAGAGGTGCAGTGTGGGTGGGGGACATTAGAAGTTGGGGGAAAAAGAAAGGAAAGGCAAGAAAAAATGTTCCATACCACAAATTAATATAAGGCGATTTTACTTTTAAATATGCAAAGCTTAAGATTAACTGGTGTAACTTTTCTAGTAAAAAGATCTATAACGTTATAAGCAAACACATCTATGGAGGTCTCTATCAACACAAACATCTCAACGAAGCAGAGAGTAAAATATGTATTAGAAACATCCAATCAACGCACATCTCTGAGAACATGAGGGTCTTAGCATGGCTAATCAGCGTGGGTCGATTAGCTGTACGATGTGTTGTTAAGTGGAGCTGCTACGTTACCACGAAACTATGTCCAGCTGCTAACTGTGATGAAGATGAGACTATTGAACATCTGTTAATTCATTGTGAACGATCTGTGGATGTGTGGAAAAGACTAAATGCTCTGGGTGTTAAATTCACTATAAATGTTAAGTCTATAATGTTTGGAAATTTTGAGGAAAGATTGTCAAAGAATGTTAAAGATTTTTATTGGTTGATTGTTTGTATTACTAACTGTAAACTGTGGAAAACGAGATGCAAAATGGTAATACAACAGACGCAAATTCCTGCAGAAGTTATTTTTAAACAGATAACTTTTGAACTGAAACGACTGCGAACAATGGACAGAAAATCAAAATATCCCTGGGCTCTGCTGGATTTTCTCATTTAAATTAATTGTAAGTTTGTGCATTATTGTATTTTAGATGGATTTGTTGTGTTTGTGTGTACCATGGTATTCATATGACTTTGTATTGTTCTTTTGATATGTATGTAATTTAAATATTTAATAAAGTTTATTTAAAAAGGAAAACTGGACTGGATGGAAGATGTGACACCAGACTGGAAAAAGAGACATAACACTAGACTGGGACAGTAATTAAACTGGGTAAGGGACTGGATAACTATAGAAACAGGTACAGAGATCATGACAGTAACAGGGACCGAGATAGTGACAGGAACAGGGACAGACACAAACCCAGAAACGGGTACAGAAACATGAGCAGTAACAGGCACAGTAAGAGAAACAGGAACAGAAACAAACCCTGGGGTAAGAGACTGAACAGACACAGGGGAACACACAGAACGTGAACTCCTAGGCCGGGCAGAGAACTGGAAGGGTGGCGGGCAGAGGGGCAAATGTCTGTGCAAGCAGCTGCCACATCCTGAGCAGCTGCTGTACAACAGCAATGTCCTGGGCTGCTGCAGGACAATATGAGGCAGGTGAAGAGGCCAAAATGTCAGGAGGCTCATCAGCTAACAGGTCCGGAGGCCTAGCATGGGCAGCTGGAGCATCTGGAGGCTCGGCAGCAGCAGCTGACGGGTCAAACACAAAAGCACATGGCTGCAACACAGGGGAAGAGACAGGCACACTTAAAGGAGCATTGGGGAAACTGTGACAGCACTTTCACATGCATTTTAAGAGCCGCATGTTCATAATTTAATAACCGAATTGAAAAAGAAAAATACAAAAATAATGTAAACATTACAATAAACAATTATTTTCGTAAGAAGTATCATAACCTTAGTGCATCAATATTGAACTTAAGGATATAATCTTAAAGAAACAGTGAGTGAAGTACAAAAATCAAAATGTATGCAAAACATGAAACATCTTTGTGCATTTTCTTATTCAGCTTAGAAATACATAGATTCATTTATGAAATGCTTGCACAATACAATAAACATTTAAATCAAAGCCATTTGGATGTCTAGGCTAAGCCACATATGCAGGATGGTCATTTGGGTTTGTTGGTTCTGTACAGACACAGTTGGAGACTCGTTCCTCATTGATCTGGATATGATTTTGATAGTGGTTGGAATCAGAATATAACAGGTCTAGCGATGCTCTTCAGGTGACGCTGATGCTCAGATCATCACATTGCGGAGTTGTGCACAGCCTTATGATAATTATTTTATGATGACATGTTCTGGACCCCCGGTTCTGAATGTTTTAATGCTTTTCCTGCTGTAGCACACAGGAAGGGTTTGTTAATGAGCTGATCAGGTGGATCAGGTGTGCTGAGAACAGACAGAACACTAAAATGTGCAGGGCAGGAGCTCCAGGACCAGGGTTGGGAACCAAAGCTGAAAGGAGGTGATGTTAACTGGGTATAATATTAACGTGTTGTTTGGTTCATCATGACTTTTGTTGGGTAATTTATTACAGCAGGACTAAGAAATATTTATAAGTGCATGAAAAACAACCATTCACAGTTTATGTGATGTGATAAACTTCAAAAGGTAAGAAGAAGAAGACCACACACCGGGATTCAAATAGAAACATGATATAATTCATATAAAAATAAATTATAGAATTACAGGAAAACAAAAGGAAACATTCCCAGCAATCATTGGGCAGAAGGCAGGATACACCCTGGACAGGTCGCCAGTCCATCACAGCCAAAAACATTCAGAGTATGAAAAAAAAAAAAATAAATAAAAAAAAAGTTATGAGCATGCCACAAAAATGCTAAATTAGAGGGAGGAAGGAAGGGAGAGAGAGAGAGAGAGAGAGAGAGAGAGAGAGAGAGAGACATGAGCAAGGTCAGAGATGAGAGCATCTTTAAAACCAAGGATGGATTGTGGACTCACAAGACCCCTGGGCAGAACTTTCTGACAATAACATCAAAAAAATAAATAAATAAATAAAAAAAAATAAATAACCCAAATAAACAGATTACCTCTGTTTGTTGAACAGCACTAATAACACAATTATTGATTATCAATTAATGTTTATTAGACTATTATTTGTTGCTATTTGTTCTGGCCTTTATTTAATGTATTTTTTCAATGTATATTCAAAGAATTTTTAATTTATCAAATTTTTGCCTGTGAATGATAATATAAAGCTTGAAATAAGAGCCACACCCATGTATGGGCTGAGAACAGATAACACTTAATCATTTATGTCTCGCTGTCCACTTGAAATCAGATCACTTCAGACAGATGTTAATACCAGTGGTGGACAGGGCCTTTGCCACCCTGGGCCCTGTGGTCAGAGGCCCCTGTGCACTGGACCTATAGGCCCTGTCATTAATCTATCCATGCTTAAGTCTCTCCACCACCTAGCACAGACTTGGAGGAAAGCATTTTACACATTTATGCAAATTACATGTAAATCAGACAAACTATGCAAGCAACTGCATATTCGTCAGTACTTATCAAAACTATTATAATGGAGACTTTTGTTCTGCCACATAATTGAACACAATTCACTGATTAGTGAACAAAGATGATGTGATTCCTCGTGAACATCCTCATCCTCGAAGATTCCATGATGTCCATGAGTAGAAGAAACACACACAAACATACTGCAGGCCTCAAAGACAAAGCCAAACCAATATATTCTTGAAACAGTTTTTATGTAGTAAAAGACAAACATTTGATTACAGGGGATAATTTATATCCCTTCACTCCTTTGTTTCAGGTGGGATCAAAAGTCTCATGGTGGTCTTGATGACATCTACAGAATGTACAGTACAAAGTATGGGGCCAACTACACACCAGTCCCCACACCAGACTCTCCCAGCTCTCGGTCACATCCACCAGTGATCACAGTAGCAAAGAGAAATTTGAAACAAAATTACTCCACCAGTCACCACTACTACACCAGTCTTCCATTTTACCCATTTTCTATTTAGACTGCCAAAATGAGTATATTCAAAATATACTCATAATCCATAAACTTCATGAATCTCACTGATTATAAATCTCAAATATCATCAAGCTTGGACAATAATATCAATATAGACAGAATTGTCTGCATAATTATTACAATATGATTATGATTCATTCAGTTATGATGACATCACATGTGACCATAACAGAGCTTCACCTAAAAGCTTGCATTGTCCCAATAATTAACATATACCACAATATAGTGACCATACTATTACCAACCAGGCTACCTTCTAATATTACTTAAACATTTATAATTTATAATGTTAACTATATTTTGCACAGACAGCGTGTAACACTGTTAACATCCATATTCTCTTTGTTTGGTTTACAACTAAAACATGGCCAAACTGCCCTGCTGACAAGCTCATCCACCTCACTCTCTACCGAACTGGAGATTTAGTCTCATTTGTAAAAAGAAGCAATAAAATTCCAAAAGTACCCTAAAGAGAACAAAAGAATAATAATTATTTATAATATCAGCACTTATATGGTTTAATGAATTAGATATTCTAAATCAATTATTGGCCAAAGCTACTCATTATCATTAAACCTCATAAACCTGATCTCATATCATAAATATAAGTAGTGAGGGTTTATAATTGTACTAACTGGGAAAATAAAGAATTACACAACAAATGTTGTCCTTTATATTGATTTTAAATATGGCATTTAAAATCTAATTTAAAATACATTTCTCACATGTAGCAATATTCATATTTCAACTCTTTAACGACCTCGTAATTCAGAGGATCCAGTGGTGTTCGAGAGAAGAATGTTCACAGGACAGAACGTATCGGGTTCTGGACATGTTTACTGAACACAGGGGGCACTAGAAGGGCGGAGCTATAATTTGAATTTCGGAGTCTAGATAAGCCGGTGCCGGGCGCGCTTCCTCATTTTTCAGTTTTACTCGAAGAAAAGAAAACCATGCCTGAACCCGCCAAGTCCGCCCCGAAGAAGGGCTCCAAGAAAGCCGTGACTAAGACGGCTGGTAAGGGAGGCAAGAAGCGCAGAAAGTCCAGGAAGGAGAGCTACGCTATCTACGTGTACAAGGTGCTGAAGCAGGTCCACCCCGACACCGGCATTTCTTCCAAGGCGATGGGCATCATGAACTCGTTCGTCAACGACATCTTCGAGCGCATCGCCGGTGAGTCGTCCCGTTTGGCTCATTACAACAAACGCTCCACCATCACGTCCAGGGAGATCCAGACCGCCGTGCGCCTGCTTCTTCCCGGTGAGCTGGCCAAGCACGCCGTGTCCGAGGGCACCAAGGCTGTCACCAAGTACACCAGCTCCAAGTAAGAAGTGACGAAGATTTAATGAAACCCAACGGCTCTTTAAGAGCCACCCACGTTTCCACTTAAAGAGCCTTTTCCCTTATGGGAGTGACGGCACGATGTTTTATGAAGGTGGAGAGAAAATGTTACTTCTGTTGTATTCCGGTTCATGTTCCCGCGCATTACTCTGTGTTGGGCTATGAACTACTGTCACATAAGTACATATATAGTATATATACACAAGTATATATAAGCACATCTACACACCTAGATTTGTATGTCCAAGAGCAGTACGCCAGTGTCAGATCTCCGTATTACATCATTCTCAATGGAGGTGGAGAGAAAATGTTCCGCCGTAGGCCGGTTCATTTTCCCGCGCAATTTCGTATAAATGCACAAGCGCATATACACACCGATCATTACACAATCATTCTCAAGCTACTCCTGCTCTTTTTGCTTTATTTTAACGGAGAGGCTCGAAACTAGTTCTTTACACTACAGACACACCTCAAAGACGGAATGAATATCAGCACCATAGCTTCCTCCTCACACAGACCAATTAAGTCAGCACGTAAAAAAACTCGGGGGTTACTAGGACAGTTGCTCTTTTGAACTGAAACACTTGGGTGGCTCTTAAAAGAGCCTTTGGGTACTTTTGGGGAAAAAGCTGGGAGCGCTCCGTTTAAGTTAAGCGCGCTCTCCGCGGATACGGCGAGCCAGCTGGATGTCCTTAGGCATGATGGTGACTCTCTTGGCGTGGATGGCGCACAGATTAGTGTCCTCGAACAGACCCACCAAGTACGCCTCGCTAGCCTCCTGCAGAGCCATGACGGCAGAGCTCTGGAAGCGGAGATCGGTCTTGAAGTCCTGAGCGATCTCCCGCACCAGGCGCTGGAAGGGCAGCTTACGGATCAGCAGCTCTGTGGATTTCTGGTAACGGCGGATCTCCCTCAGAGCTACGGTACCGGGCCTGTAACGGTGAGGCTTCTTGACGCCGCCAGTAGCCGGAGCGCTCTTACGAGCAGCCTTGGTAGCCAGCTGCTTCCTCGGGGCTTTGCCACCGGTAGACTTACGGGCGGTCTGCTTGGTTCTTGCCATGACGTCAAACTCTGTTCTTCTGCACCAAAGAAACGGAATAACTCTGCGCACAGACCGCGGCCCCTTTTAAGGGTTCGAGCTGCTCGCCGCTCATTGGGCGTCCGGAATGTGCCCGCCTTCCATTGGACGGCTCCCCACTCGATGGCTAAACGCTATTGGGCGTTTTCTGCCGCGCCAACATTTTCAAATAACAAGGCGCTGCCCCAACGCCTTGGCGGGCTCATGTACCACATTCTTGTTTTTTTCTGTTTTACATGTTCGGTGTAACGTTACTCAGATTTTTGGATCATTCATTATTACACGCCTGTTATTTGACCTTCTTTCGCGTAGTTATAAAGTCGTTCATGTGGGTTTATTCGCCTTGTATTCGAGCAAAATAAGAGCTTTTAAGTCACACTTCTAAAGCTTGCACTGTGCCAAAAATGTGATATATTTCATGCGTGAGTTCATAATCGTATAACTTGCACGTGTGTGTGTACGGAATGAAAATAACCTAAACTTGTTATAGTAATAAACCTGACAGGAACGTATGTAATGTACATAACAGTAGATAAGAATGCGCGGGAAGGTGAACGGTATTCAGTACGCAATCGTGGGACGTGGTGAAGCTGTGATGCTTTTATTTCATTCTATCCTACACACGATAGAATGAATTGAACTAACGATCAATAGAAAGTCGTTTTTTTCTACTTTTTAGCATAAGGAAAAAAACTGCACTTTTGTTGCTATGGTGGGTGGCTCTTAAAAGAGCCTTTGTTTTTTTTTTAAATTTGACAGAAGAACCCAATTTATTTGGTCTTGGCCGCCTTCTCTGTTTTCTTGGGCAGCAGTACAGCCTGAATGTTGGGCAGCACGCCACCCTGAGCGATGGTCACTCCACCGAGCAGTTTGTTGAGCTCCTCGTCGTTACGAACGGCCAACTGCAGGTGACGAGGGATGATACGAGTCTTCTTGTTGTCGCGAGCGGCATTGCCCGCCAACTCAAGGATCTCAGCGGTCAGATACTCCAGGACGGCAGCCAAGTAGACTGGAGCGCCGGCGCCGACGCGCTCGGCATAGTTGCCTTTGCGCAGAAGCCTGTGAACACGGCCCACAGGGAACTGCAGCCCGGCGCGGGAAGAGCGAGTCTTGGCCTTCGCCCTAGCTTTACCTCCGGTTTTCCCCCTTCCACTCATCTTGCACTTACGTTTAGTTTGTGGAGCTAAACTGAAATAAAAAGCATTCGTTTCCGAACGCCCTCCATATAGGCAAAGCTGCCATGTTTCTATTGGCTAAAATGCGATGGTATCCAACAACCAATCATATTAGCGTCGTCACTTAGGGCCCGCCCACCTTTCTTCTCCAAGATCTCTGCTCCCCCCCCACCTCCCCTTCGCTCGCGCGCGTGCGTGTATGTGTTACAGAGAGAGACAGAGAGAGAGAGAGAGAGAGAGAGATAAAATACATACGATACTTTGGGAGATGAAGATAAATTATGTGCTGCAGACACATATCAAATAGTTTTTCTTTTTATTATTGTGTATACTTAATTAATTGATAACGCTTTCTCTTTTTAATTGCTTTGTTGTTATCAATCTTGGTTTTGTAACTATTATTATTATTTGCATATTATTTACTTTTGATATATAATTTTTTCAATACTTTGAAAGTACACATGTAAATTTGTCATGTCAATAAAGCAAACCTGAACTGAACTGAGAGATGAGGAAACAAAGAAGGAAACAAAGCAAGTCCCTGTCTCCTCGCTGTTTTTTATCCAATTTCAGCTCCTACTCTCATCCGTGTAAATGCAAACGGCAACTCGGTCATAATTTTGACCCTGGCGCTTTAAAATATTACGAACTGGCCAGTTTTTAAGTGCAGCACGAAAGAAAATCGAACTCTTTAATAGGAAAATGTGGGTGGCTCTTAAAAGAGCCGTTTTTTTTTTCAATAGGAGAAACAGGACATGAGGGTGAACAGCACGTTTACTTCTTCTTGGGAGCCGCCTTTTTCGCCGTCTTGGGCTTGGCAGCTTTGGGCTTAACCGCCTTTGTTTTCTTCGGGCTCTTGGCCGTCTTCTTCGGGGCCGCCGGCTTCTTGGCTTTTTTGGGAGACTTGGCGACTTTCTTGGCGGCCGCGGGCTTCTTCGCCGCTACCTTTTTAGCTTTTTTCGGCGACTTCTTGGCGGCCGCGGGCTTCTTCGCCGCTACCTTCTTGGGCTTCTTGGCCGCGGCGGGCTTTTTGGCGGCCGCCTTCTTGGGTTTGGTTGCTGCTTTCTTCGCCGGCTTCTTCTTGGCCTCGGCTTGCTTCTTGTTGAGCTTGAAGGAGCCTGACGCACCGGTGCCTTTGGTCTGCACCAGGGTGCCCTTCGTCACGAGGCTCTTGACGGCGAGCTTGACGCGGGAATTGTTCTTCTCCACGTCGTAGCCGCCGGCAGCCAGGGCCTTCTTGAGAGCGGCGAGAGACACGCCGCTCCTCTCCTTGGACTGAGAAACAGCCTTGACGATGAGCTCGCCGACGCTGGGGCCGGCTTTCTTGGGCCGGGCAGCGCTTTTCTTCTTAGGAGCTTTGGCCGGCGCGGCGGCTGGAGCAGGAGCGACTTCCGCCATCGTTCTGCTTTTGCTGCGAGCGGAGCGAGAAAGAGCACAAACTAGACTGTTCAGAGGAACCTCCCTCTCAGGCTGGGAGCCGGCCCCTTAAAGGGCACATGAGAACGGTGTAGACTCAACCACGCGGGCGCTGTGCCTCTTTGTCTCAGTGACGCGCTCAGATTTGTGTTTTCTCGTGGCATTTATCGGGCAAAATACGACAGAATGCGCTGCTTGGCGAGCGTCCAACGGCTCGTTCCTCTAGAAGAGGCTCTGCCGTGTGTCCCCAGTCCGGGAATGGGTGCACAGCGACGCCTCGTTTTACAGGGCGCTCTCAAAAGCGCGCCGGGCGGTCGCCGCTCCGAACGAAAGACGGCGTATTTGGCGCGATAATCGGTGGAAAACGGTGGCAAACGGCGGCGTGAACTTTCGGAGAGCTCAACGGCGCGTTCGGGGAGAGCCTCGGCGAGGGCGTGGGCGAACTTCCAGCGACCGAGCGCCTCGTTGACTATGTGTAAAACGGGCTCTCTTGGAGCGAGCAAAGCACAGGCGTGAGGTCGGCGGCCCGCGGGGCCAGAGCCTGCTCTCTGCTGATGTGCTGTCGTAAAAAACGCCATGTAAATGAACTTGACCAGTGCGAAATAACCCAAATCTCATATGGAAAGCATTATTATGTCATTATATTTTACTGTATGGCTCTCCATACTCTATGGCTTTGTGTGTGTGTGGGTGACCCTGAGTGTGAACGCAAAGTGCAGTGGTGTGGGCCAAGTAGGCCACATCTAGGAAAGGCACACACAGAGAGAAGAACCTGTTTGTTCCATTTTAAAACTAAAACGTCTTTGAAGGAGAAAAGAACATACGTAGACAGACCTAGTTGTAACCATATTGAATAGTAGTAATACACAAAGTCAATAAAGTGTAAAAGCCTTAGCCTGATTGTGGCCTTGGCCTGTGATCACATATATGTTAATATAAAAAAATATATGTTACTTTTTGGTTTGGAAATAATGGAATTATTCTTGATAAAAAAAAATAATAATAATGACGTTAACAATGATGTGAACGATAATAAAAGAAACTTTGTAAGGTTTGGATATAATGGTATTCAAAGTAGTCATGAAAGTTGGAGATAATGGTGTGTAACCATTTGGGATGGGCAAGGAGGGGTCATCACCTTACTCTGACCTCAGCAACGGTCAAGGCCTTGCCCTCAATCTACTTTCACTTTAACTAATTTCACCATAAACCTCAAAAAAGGCCTAATTCTAAATTTGCTATTACTCTAAATACATGTTAAGCTTGAGGGCTAGATGTAAGACAAATTTGGCCTACTCTAACTACAACATGAGCTTAAAGCCTAGTTCTGTACCTGATTTAATTTTACAGCTTCATCATAAGTCTAATGGAGCACTATAAATTTCGGTTTTCACTCACTCTTACTACTTCACAAGCCGGAGGCCCTGCCTTAAGATTACTTTGACATTCTTTAACTGTAGCACTATAACATCTTGTTCTCACACTAACTACACTACAAGCCTATAGGGCCTCATTCTAAACCTACCATCACTTACTGGAAATCTCATTTTGCCAACTCTAACTTCTTTAGAGGCCTAAGACATCACCCTATACTGACTTTTACAATCTCTTATTTATTCATAAACCTAAGACTGAGCTCTATAGCAACACTTCCTTAAGCTTTCTACATTATAAGCTTGCGGCCTCGCTGAAAGCCTACTTTTGCTTACACTAGCTGCATCATAAGCGTTAGACTTAAAATATATACAGAGTAAGTAAAAGGGCTTATAGAGCTACACCTTAGATTTATGTTTTATTCTAACCTCCTCATGAATCCACTGTTATTTACTTTACTGCAACAAAGACACAAAACCTAGCTAGATGCCTCCCTTTGCTTACTCTGACTTCATCATAAGCCTAAGGCCTTGCCCTAAACCTATTTTCACGTTCTCCAACTTGACCATAAACCAAAAACCTAATATAACTTACTCTAACTACATTTTCAGCCAGTGTACAGATGAAAGGCTTGATTTTGGCTTGCTTAAACTGTATCATTAGCTAAAAGCCTAGCTCTGCACCTGCTGCTATTTTACAACTTCATCATAAATCTAACTATACATCTCAGTTCACTCACTCTTACTCCTTCACAAGCCTGGGGCCCTGCCCTACTTTAACATCATTTAACTTTAGCTCCATAGCTACTGCTACTCACTCTAACCTGCTATCATTTGCTCCATCTACATTTTAAGCCTGAGGCCTAGTCTGAAAGCTCCACAGCTACCTTTACTAACTCTGACTACTTTAGAAGCCAGAGGCTTAGTGATAAATCTATATAAAACTACTTTTGCTTATTCTACCAGCAGCAATAGCCTAAGGTTTAGCTCTTTACCCACCTGTACTCTGTGGCACTTCAGCATTAGCCTAAGGCCTACTTACTCTAACTGCATCATGGGCCTAATGCCTGGCTGTACATAATAAGGCCTAGCATCTTACCTACTTTAACTTACTCTTATTTAATTTTTATTTATGTCATAAACAATAACAACAATAGTAATAATACAAAGAAAAAAGTTTTGCTTACTCATACATTCAACATACTTCTGCAGGGCATACAGTATAACCTTCATTGTTATACTCATAATATTTATTTTTGAAGCAGTTTCATAGTTTTTCCCATTTGTACCACACACACTGACCTCCTCTTATTCCACTATTCAAAAGCCTTAAAGTCAAGTCAAGTCAAGAGGCTTTTATTGTCATTCCATCTATGTACAAGTACACAGTGGAGTGAAATTACGTTCCTCCAAGGAACAACACGGTGCAACAAGGAACAAAATAGACAATGCAAAGTGCAAACGTGCAGATGTAAGTGTGCAAAAAAAAAAATTTAAAATAAATAAAAATAAAATAGAAACAAATGCAAAAAAAAAAAAAATCTAACTAGAAACAATACAATAAATACAATAAATAAAACAGACATTCAGACACAGTAAACAAACAGGACAGTGCAGCGCCGACACAGCACTCATTTCTTGTGATTATTGTGATCTGTGAGTTTCCGCAGTCAGATTGTAACATACGTGAACACAGCAGTTCCTGAGGTAGGTACACAGTACTAGAGTGAAGAAAGTGCAAACACTGTATTAGCAGCAATGTTCCAGATGGAGGGGAGAGTGACCCCGATGATCTTCTCAGCTGTCCTCACTATTCACTGTAGGGACTTGCAGTCGGAGGCAGTGCAATTCCCAAACCAGGCAATGATGCAGCTGCTCACCACAGTCCCCCTGCAGATCATCCTGAAGATGGGGTTAAGGGGCTTTCTAAAGGAGGTGCACCGTTCTCGGAAGAACTGCAATACCAGGTCGATGCGTGGAGCGGACGGAGCAAGCTCCTCTTCCGTCTCCTTGTTGTAAATATCAATTTAATGTGTAGCCCTCATATAGAGGACGTATCAGATATTAAACTAATAAGAACAGATACTACACTTGATCAAGTACAAAAGGCCGAGAAGCAATAAAATGGCAAAATAATATTAAAAGAATACATAAGCTCTTACAATAACAGAAGTGCACAATTTTTTTTTTTATTCATAAATACACACATGCATGTCAAGAAAAGAAAAAAAATAAATAAAAATAAAGAGGTTTAGAAGCGTTATAACTCAAAACAAAGCCTGGATGTTTCCCTTATTTTACAGGTGTTTGCAGAAGGAACTGCAGATCACGTACTGGAACAAACACACTTCTGTATCACGTATGCCACGTATACACAAACCAAAGGATGTGCATTTAAACACTTACATAACTCATTCTACTACAAGCCTTACAGTTACCCACACAAAATAAGCTCTTTAAGCGGAAACATGGGTGGCTCTTAAAAGAGCCGTTGGGTTTGATGTTGTTGATGAAGCTTTTCGTCACTTCTTACTTGGAGCTGGTGTACTTGGTGACGGCCTTGGTGCCCTCGGACACGGCGTGCTTGGCCAGCTCACCGGGAAGAAGCAGGCGCACGGCGGTCTGGATCTCCCTGGACGTGATCGTGGAGCGTTTGTTGTAATGAGCCAAACGGGACGACTCACCGGCGATGCGCTCGAAAATGTCGTTGACGAACGAGTTCATGATGCCCATCGCCTTGGAGGAAATGCCGGTGTCGGGGTGGACCTGCTTCAGCACCTTGTACACGTAGATCGCGTAGCTCTCCTTCCTGGACTTTCTGCGCTTCTTACCTCCCTTACCAGCCGTCTTAGTCACGGCTTTCTTGGAGCCCTTCTTCGGGGCGGACTTGGCGGGTTCAGGCATAGCTTTCTCTTCTTCGAGTACAACCGAAGACTGAGGAAGCGCGCCCGGCACCGGCTTATCTAGACTCCGATATTCAAATTATAGCTCCGCCCTTCTGAATGCAGACAAGCGATCATTGGACAACAATCAATCGTTCGATTTGCGGGCAACGCCCCGCCCCTCCCCCCTCCCCCCTCCCCCTCCTTCTCTTCCCAGCTCAAGACTTTTCCTTTGTTCGCCTTCCCGCGCATTCTTATCTACTGTGTGCCATGTATAATACATACGTTCCTATCAGTTATACGATTATGAACTCACGAAAGCGCATGAAATATATCACATATTTTCGGCACAGTGTAAGGTTTAAAAGTGTGACTGTGTGTGTTTGTGTGTGGTAGGACGCACTCTGCTCTTATTTATATATATATATATATATATATATATATTTTTTTTTTTTTTTAGTCTATTTTAATTCTTATTTTATTTACTACTGCAAAGTGTTTGTCGGATACTGTGCACTGAGAGCTCAAACTCCTTGTATGTGTAAGCGTACCTGGCCAATTAAGCTCGATTCCGATAAAGTTCAATTTTAAAACTTTTTTAAAAGCTTTTTCTTGAGTGCTTTGAGACTTTCCCCGTTGTGAGACTAATAAACGATTACCTTGATTCTGAAATAAAAATATTAAAATATTTTAAACTTTTTTAGGGGGGACCGTCCAGCTAGTTGAAGCTTTCGCCCCCACTCCTTTCCCAGTTATGTCAGTATCAAATTAAGGTCATACCGTCAGTGTTTAAGAGGTAAAATCATTAGCAAGTCGGAATGCAATAAAAGTCTGCTTTTATCACTACATGATCATAAGGAAAAACTCTTCTGGTGGGTCTGTGGGGGGCTCTTAAAAGAGCCGTTGGATTTGTCGTTGTTCGAGTCGAGCGTTTAGCCTCCGAAGCCGTACAGGGTTCGTCCCTGACGCTTCAGGGCATAAACCACATCCATGGCGGTGACGGTCTTCCTCTTGGCGTGCTCGGTGTAGGTGACGGCGTCCCTGATCACGTTCTCCAGGAACACCTTGAGCACGCCGCGGGTCTCCTCATAGATCAGACCAGAGATACGCTTGACACCGCCACGGCGAGCCAGACGACGGATAGCTGGCTTGGTGATGCCCTGGATGTTATCGCGAAGCACTTTGCGGTGACGCTTAGCGCCTCCTTTACCGAGACCTTTTCCTCCTTTTCCTCTACCAGACATGCTGCTTAGCTCTTCACTTGATGGCTGCAAACAGAATCAATGGCAAACGGAGCGCTGTACGTGCCTGTTATGCTCCTCTACAGGACCTAGTTGAAACCAAGGAACGGGAGGCGGAGCCACGCACAACAGACACTACAGAGAAAACAGCAACACGATGGAATCAAGGAAAACACACAAAGCAAATACTGCCATGAAATAAATATCCCTCGTATTTTACTTTACAGTGTTCTGTAAAGCCTGTCCATCCTTGCAGCAGCAGCCACTGTGGGGAAGCGTGGAGAGGTCAACTGGTAAAGAGTTGGTTGAAACTGAAAGATCTTTTAATAAACTCTGATCAAAAGACTGATCAAAGATTCTGATTTTTTTTTTATTATTATTTATTAAGTGCATTATTTTTTGTGCCTTAAACCACAACAGACTCAGATTCATTTGTCATAAATGATGATTACATACACAGATATAATAGACCTAACTGAGTTGAAATAGTTTACATGGATCAACAGTTTTATGTTACTGTTTCATTTGGAAGTGGAGCCCCTTGATGGAAAGCAGTTTAATTACATCACTCAGTAAAATTATCTGCTTGCCTTACTGCTCTGAGGCACGAATACAAAAGGCCATTTACAGTGGGACCCAGGTTAGACAGGGGATAGGACACTGGACAGAATGGCAGATGGAAAACTGGAAGATGTGACACCAGACTGGAAAAAGAGACATAACACTAGACTGGGACAGTAATTAAACTGGGTAAGGGACTGGATAACTATAGAAACAGGTACAGAGATCATGACAGTAACAGGGACCGAGATAGTGACAGGAACAGGGACAGACACAAACCCAGAAACGGGTACAGAAACATGAGCAGTAACAGGCACAGTAAGAGAAACAGGAACAGAAACAAACTCTGCGGTAAGAGACTGAACAGACACATTGGAACACACAGAACGTGAACTCCTAGGCCGGGCAGAGAACTGGAAGGGTGGCGGGCAGAGAGGCGAATGTCTGTGCAACCAACTGCCACATCCTGAGCAGCTGCTGTACAACAGCAATGTCCTGGGCTGCTGCGGGACAATACAAGGCGGGTGAAGGGGCCAAAATGTCAGGAGGCTCATCAGTTAACAGGTCCGGAGGCCTAGCATGGGCAGCTGGAGCATCTGGAGGCAGCAGCTGACGGGTCAAACACAAAAGCACATGGCTGCAACACAGGGGAAGAGACAGGCACACTTAAAGGAGCATTGGGGAAACTGTGACAGTGCTTCACAACCTTTCATTTCACATGCATTTTAAAGCCGCATGTTCATAATTTAATAACCGAATTGAAAAAGAAAAATACAAAAATAATATAAACATTACAATAAACAATTATTTTCATAAGAAGTATCATAACCTTAGTGCATTAATATTGAACTTAAGGATATAATCTTAAAGAAACAGTGAGTGAAGTACAAAAATCAAAATGTATGCAAAACATGAAACATCTTTGTGCATTTTCTTTTTCAGCTTAGAAATACATAGATTTATTTATGAAATGCTTGCACAATACAATAAACATTTAAATCAAAGCTATTTGGATGTCTAGGCTAAGCCACATATGCAGGATGGTCATTTGGGTATGTTGGTTCTGGACAGACCCAGTTGGCGACTCGTTCCTCATTGATCTGGATATGATTTTGATAGTGGTTGGAATCAGAATATAACAGGTCTGTGATGCTCTTCAGGTGACGCTGATGCTCAGATCATAACATTGCAGAGTTGTGCACAGCCTTATGATAATTATTTTATGATGACATGTTCTGGACCCCCGGTTCTGAATGTTTTAATGCTTTTCCTGCTGTAGCACACAGCTTCAGCTCAGGAAGGGTTTGTTAATGAGCTGATCAGGTGGATCAGGTGTGCTGAGAGCAGACAGAACACTAAAATGTGCAGGGCAGGAGCTCCAGGACCAGGGTTGGGAACCAAAGCTGAAAGGAGGTGATGTTAGCTGGGTATAATATTAACGTGTTGTTTGGTTCATCATGACTTTTGTTGGGTAATTTACTACAGCAGGACTAAGAAATATTTATACGTGCATGAAAAACAACCATTCACAGTTTATGCTATGTGATAAACTTCAAAAGGTAAAAGGAAGAAGACCACACACCGGGATTCAAATAGAAACATGATCGAATTCATATAAAAAATAAATTATAGAATTACAGGAAAACAAAAGGAAACATTCCCAGCAATCATTGGGCAGAAGGCAGGATAGACCCTGGACAGGTCGCCAGTCCATCACAGCCAAAAACATTCAGAGTATGATAAAAAAAAAGTAAAAATAAAAAAATAGTTATGAGCATGCCACAAAAAAAGCTAAATTAGAGGGAGAGAGAGAGAGAGAGAGAGAGAGAGAGAGAGAGAGAGAGAGAGACATGAGCAAGGTCAGAGATGAGAGCATCTTTAAGACCAAGGATGGATTGTGGACTCACAAGACCCCTGGGCAGAACTTTCTGACAATAACATCACCCAAATAAACAGATTGCCTCTGTTTATGTGTGTTTGAACAGCAATAATAACACAATTATTGATTATCAATTAATGTTTATTATACTATTATTTGTTGCTAGTAATATTTCTGCAGTATTGTGTGTTTTTTTTTTATCATTATTATAAATTTGGTAGCTGGGTGTCTGTTAACTGGCCTTTATTTAATGTATTTTTTCAATGTATATTCAAGGGCTTTTAATTTATCAAATTTTTGCCTGGGAATAATAATATAAAGCTTGAAATAAGAGCCACATCCACGTATGGGCTGAGAACAGATAACACTTAATCATTTATGTCTCGCTGTCCACTTGAAATCAGATCACTTCAGACAGATGTTAATACCAGTGGTGGACAGGGCCTTTGCCACCCTGGGCCCTGTGGTCAGAGGCCCCTGTGCACTGGACCTATAGGCCCTGTCATTAATCTATCCATGCTTAAGTCTCTCCACCACCTAGCACAGACTTGGAGGAAAGCATTTTACACATTTATGCAAATTACATGTAAATCAGACAAACTATGCAAGCAACTGCATATTCGTCAGTACTTATCAAAACTATTTTAATGGAGACTTTTGTTCTGCCACATAATTAAACACAATTCACTGATTAGTGAACAAAGATGATGTGATTCCTCGTGAACATCCTCATCCTCGAAGATTCCATGATGTCCATGAATAGAAGAAACACACACAAACATACTGCAGGTCTCAAAGACACAAAGCCAAACCAATATATTCTTGAAACAGTTTTTATGTAGTAAAAGACAAACATTTGATTACAGGGGATAATTTATATCCCTTCACTCCTTTGTTTCAGGTGGGATCAAAAGTCTCATGGTGGTCTTGATGACATCTACATAATGTACAGTACAAAATATGGGGCCAACTACACACCAGTCCCCACACCAGACTCTCCCAGCTCTCAGTCACATCCACCAGTGATCACAGTAGCAAAGAGAAATTTGAAACAAAATTACTCCACCAGTCACCACTACTACACCAGTCTTCCATTTTACCCATTTTCTATTTCATATTCTCTTTGTTTGGTTTACAACTAAAACATGGCCAAACTGCCCTGTTGACGAGCTCATCCACCTCACTCTCTACCGAACTGGAGATTTAATCTCATTTGTAAGAAGAAGCAATAAAAATTTCAAAAGTACCTTAAAGAGAACAAAAAAATAATAATTGTGTTTTAGGCTGAGGGCGACTTGTCATCGATGGAGCTTGGATGCCCTCGTGTGGTCAAAATGTGAACCTGCAAGCAGTAGAATAAGAGATATTGTGGAAATATTGTGTAGCTGAGTGACTTATTGAATTACTGTGTTTGTGACGCTGCGTAAATAAATAAAATTGGAACTGAAATTACAATCATTTTACTGTAATTATAACAACCAAACCACATAATTTCTTATAGTAGTTCGGCATTTACAATAAGGAGTCTAGTGGTCTTTCTCAGACTTGCCAGTTCACAGTTTGACCACAGGATATTGTATATAATATCTCTCTCTCTCTCTCTCTCTCTCTCTCTCACACACACACACACACACACACACACACACACACACACACTCATACATATTTAACAAGGTTACAGTTTGTTACTTATTACTGCAAAGACAATTTGCATAGTACTAAAGATAAAAACAAATTCTATTTTTCTCAAAATTAAGAAAATAAACAATATAAATAAAAGAGCAAAACATCTTTAAACCATAAGTATATTTTAGCATATTGCACATAGAGTATTGATAATATTATAAGGCTGTGAAATGATACCACTAATAAAAGTATTAGTAATAGTTATAGTTATAATAATACGGGGGATATTTATTTCATGGCAGTATTTGCTTTGTGTGTTTTCCTTGATTCCATCGTGTTGCTGTTTTCTCTGTAGTGTCTGTTGTGCGTGGCTCCGCCTCCCGTTCCTTGGTTTCAACTAGGTCCTGTAGAGGAGCATAACAGGCACGTACAGCGCTCCGTTTGCCATTGATTCTGTTTGCAGCCATCAAGTGAAGAGCTAAGCAGCATGTCTGGTAGAGGAAAAGGAGGAAAAGGTCTCGGTAAAGGAGGCGCTAAGCGTCACCGCAAAGTGCTTCGCGATAACATCCAGGGCATCACCAAGCCAGCTATCCGTCGTCTGGCTCGCCGTGGCGGTGTCAAGCGTATCTCTGGTCTGATCTATGAGGAGACCCGCGGCGTGCTCAAGGTGTTCCTGGAGAACGTGATCAGGGACGCCGTCACCTACACCGAGCACGCCAAGAGGAAGACCGTCACCGCCATGGATGTGGTTTATGCCCTGAAGCGTCAGGGACGAACCCTGTACGGCTTCGGAGGCTAAACGCTCGACTCGAACAACGACAAATCCAACGGCTCTTTTAAGAGCCCCCCACAGACCCACCAGAAGAGTTTTTCCTTATGATCATGTAGTGATAAAAGCAGACTTTTATTGCATTCCGACTTGCTAATGATTTTACCTCTTAAACACTGACGGTATGACCTTAATTTGATACTGACATAACTGGGAAAGGAGTGGGGGCGAAAGCTTCAACTAGCTGGACGGTCCCCCCTAAAAAAGTTTAAAATATTTTAATATTTTTATTTCAGAATCAAGGTAATCGTTTATTAGTCTCACAACGGGGAAAGTCTCAAAGCACTCAAGAAAAAGCTTTTAAAAAAGTTTTAAAATTGAACTTTATCGGAATCGAGCTTAATTGGCCAGGTACGCTTACACATACAAGGAGTTTGAGCTCTCAGTGCACAGTATCCGACAAACACTTTGCAGTAGTAAATAAAATAAGAATTAAAATAGACTATATATATATATATATATATATATATATATAAATAAGAACAGAGTGCGTCCTACCACACACAAACACACACAGTCACACTTTTAAACCTTACACTGTGCCGAAAATATGTGATATATTTCATGCGCTTTCGTGAGTTCATAATCGTATAACTGATAGGAACGTATGTATTATACATGGCACACAGTAGATAAGAATGCGCGGGAAGGCGAACAAAGGAAAAGTCTTGAGCTGGGAAGAGAAGGAGGGGGAGGGGGGAGGGGGGAGGGGCGGGGCGTTGCCCGCAAATCGAACGATTGATTGTTGTCCAATGATCGCTTGTCTGCATTCAGAAGGGCGGAGCTATAATTTGAATATCGGAGTCTAGATAAGCCGGTGCCGGGCGCGCTTCCTCAGTCTTCGGTTGTACTCGAAGAAGAGAAAGCTATGCCTGAACCCGCCAAGTCCGCCCCGAAGAAGGGCTCCAAGAAAGCCGTGACTAAGACGGCTGGTAAGGGAGGTAAGAAGCGCAGAAAGTCCAGGAAGGAGAGCTACGCGATCTACGTGTACAAGGTGCTGAAGCAGGTCCACCCCGACACCGGCATTTCCTCCAAGGCGATGGGCATCATGAACTCGTTCGTCAACGACATTTTCGAGCGCATCGCCGGTGAGTCGTCCCGTTTGGCTCATTACAACAAACGCTCCACGATCACGTCCAGGGAGATCCAGACCGCCGTGCGCCTGCTTCTTCCCGGTGAGCTGGCCAAGCACGCCGTGTCCGAGGGCACCAAGGCCGTCACCAAGTACACCAGCTCCAAGTAAGAAGTGACGAAAAGCTTCATCAACAACATCAAACCCAACGGCTCTTTTAAGAGCCACCCATGTTTCCGCTTAAAGAGCTTATTTTGTGTGGGTAACTGTAAGGCTTGTAGTAGAATGAGTTATGTAAGTGTTTAAATGCACATCCTTTGGTTTGTGTATACGTGGCATACGTGATACAGAAGTGTGTTTGTTCCAGTACGTGATCTGCAGTTCCTTCTGCAAACACCTGTAAAATAAGGGAAGCATCCAGGCTTTGTTTTGAGTTATAACGCTTCTAAACCTCTTTATTTTTATTTATTTTTTTTCTTTTCTTGACATGCATGTGTGTATTTATGAATAAAAAAAAAAATTGTGCACTTCTGTTATTGTAAGAGCTTATGTATTCTTTTAATATTATTTTGCCATTTTATTGCTTCTCGGCCTTTTGTACTTGATCAAGTGTAGTATCTGTTCTTATTAGTTTAATATCTGATACGTCCTCTATATGAGGGCTACACATTAAATTGATATTTACAACAAGGAGACGGAAGAGGAGCTTGCTCCGTCCGCTCCACGCATCGACCTGGTATTGCAGTTCTTCCGAGAACGGTGCACCTCCTTTAGAAAGCCCCTTAACCCCATCTTCAGGATGATCTGCAGGGGGACTGTGGTGAGCAGCTGCATCATTGCCTGGTTTGGGAATTGCACTGCCTCCGACTGCAAGTCCCTACAGTGAATAGTGAGGACAGCTGAGAAGATCATCGGGGTCACTCTCCCCTCCATCTGGAACATTGCTGCTAATACAGTGTTTGCACTTTCTTCACTCTAGTACTGTGTACCTACCTCAGGAACTGCTGTGTTCACGTATGTTACAATCTGACTGCGGAAACTCACAGATCACAATAATCACAAGAAATGAGTGCTGTGTCGGCGCTGCACTGTCCTGTTTGTTTACTGTGTCTGAATGTCTGTTTTATTTATTGTATTTATTGTATTGTTTCTAGTTAGATGCATTTGTTTCTATTTTATTTTTATTTATTTTAAATTTTTTTTTTTGCACACTTACATCTGCACGTTTGCACTTTGCATTGTCTATTTTGTTCCTTGTTGCACCGTGTTGTTCCTTGGAGGAACGTAATTTCACTCCACTGTGTACTTGTACATAGATGGAATGACAATAAAAGCCTCTTGACTTGACTTGACTTTAAGGCTTTTGAATAGTGGAATAAGAGGAGGTCAGTGTGTGTGGTACAAATGGGAAAAACTATGAAACTGCTTCAAAAATAAATATTATGAGTATAACAATGAAGGTTATACTGTATGCCCTGCAGAAGTATGTTGAATGTATGAGTAAGCAAAACTTTTTTCTTTGTATTATTACTATTGTTGTTATTGTTTATGACATAAATAAAAATTAAATAAGAGTAAGTTAAAGTAGGTAAGATGCTAGGCCTTATTATGTACAGCCAGGCATTAGGCCCATGATGCAGTTAGAGTAAGTAGGCCTTAGGCTAATGCTGAAGTGCCACAGAGTACAGGTGGGTAAAGAGCTAAACCTTAGGCTATTGCTGCTGGTAGAATAAGCAAAAGTAGTTTTATATAGATTTATCACTAAGCCTCTGGCTTCTAAAGTAGTCAGAGTTAGTAAAGGTAGCTGTGGAGCTTTCAGACTAGGCCTCAGGCTTAAAATGTAGATGGAGCAAATGATAGCAGGTTAGAGTGAGTAGCAGTAGCTATGGAGCTAAAGTTAAATGATGTTAAAGTAGGGCAGGGCCCCAGGCTTGTGAAGGAGTAAGAGTGAGTGAACTGAGATGTATAGTTAGATTTATGATGAAGTTGTAAAATAGCAGCAGGTGCAGAGCTAGGCTTTTAGCTAATGATACAGTTTAAGCAAGCCAAAATCAAGCCTTTCATCTGTACACTGGCTGAAAATGTAGTTAGAGTAAGTTATATTAGGTTTTTGGTTTATGGTCAAGTTGGAGAACGTGAAAATAGGTTTAGGGCAAGGCCTTAGGCTTATGATGAAGTCAGAGTAAGCAAAGGGAGGCATCTAGCTAGGTTTTGTGTCTTTGTTGCAGTAAAGTAAATAACAGTGGATTCATGAGGAGGTTAGAATAAAACATAAATCTAAGGTGTAGCTCTATAAGCCCTTTTACTTACTCTGTATATATTTTAAGTCTAACGCTTATGATGCAGCTAGTGTAAGCAAAAGTAGGCTTTCAGCGAGGCCGCAAGCTTATAATGTAGAAAGCTTAAGGAAGTGTTGCTATAGAGCTCAGTCTTAGGTTTATGAATAAATAAGAGATTGTAAAAGTCAGTATAGGGTGATGTCTTAGGCCTCTAAAGAAGTTAGAGTTGGCAAAATGAGATTTCCAGTAAGTGATGGTAGGTTTAGAATGAGGCCCTATAGGCTTGTAGTGTAGTTAGTGTGAGAACAAGATGTTATAGTGCTACAGTTAAAGAATGTCAAAGTAATCTTAAGGCAGGGCCTCCGGCTTGTGAAGTAGTAAGAGTGAGTGAAAACCGAAATTTATAGTGCTCCATTAGACTTATGATGAAGCTGTAAAATTAAATCAGGTACAGAACTAGGCTTTAAGCTCATGTTGTAGTTAGAGTAGGCCAAATTTGTCTTACATCTAGCCCTCAAGCTTAACATGTATTTAGAGTAATAGCAAATTTAGAATTAGGCCTTTTTTGAGGTTTATGGTGAAATTAGTTAAAGTGAAAGTAGATTGAGGGCAAGGCCTTGACCGTTGCTGAGGTCAGAGTAAGGTGATGACCCCTCCTTGCCCATCCCAAATGGTTACACACCATTATCTCCAACTTTCATGACTACTTTGAATACCATTATATCCAAACCTTACAAAGTTTCTTTTATTATCGTTCACATCATTGTTAACGTCATTATTATTATATCAAGAATAATTCCATTATTTCCAAACCAAAAAGTAACATATATTTTTTTATATTAACATATATGTGATCACAGGCCAAGGCCACAATCAGGCTAAGGCTTTTACACTTTATTGACTTTGTGTATTACTACTATTCAATATGGTTACAACTAGGTCTGTCTACGTATGTTCTTTTCTCCTTCAAAGACGTTTTAGTTTTAAAATGGAACAAACAGGTTCTTCTCTCTGTGTGTGCCTTTCCTAGATGTGGCCTACTTGGCCCACACCACTGCACTTTGCGTTCACACTCAGGGTCACCCACACACACACAAAGCCATAGAGTATGGAGAGCCATACAGTAAAATATAATGACATAATAATGTTTTCCATATGAGATTTGGGTTATTTCGCACTGGTCAAGTTCATTTACATGGCGTTTTTTACGACAGCACATCAGCAGAGAGCAGGCTCTGGCCCCGCGGGCCGCCGACCTCACGCCTGTGCTTTGCTCGCTCCAAGAGAGCCCGTTTTACACATAGTCAACGAGGCGCTCGGTCGCTGGAAGTTCGCCCACGCCCTCGCCGAGGCTCTCCCCGAACGCGCCGTTGAGCTCTCCGAAAGTTCACGCCGCCGTTTGCCACCGTTTTCCACCGATTATCGCGCCAAATACGCCGTCTTTCGTTCGGAGCGGCGACCGCCCGGCGCGCTTTTGAGAGCGCCCTGTAAAACGAGGCGTCGCTGTGCACCCATTCCCGGACTGGGGACACACGGCAGAGCCTCTTCTAGAGGAACGAGCCGTTGGACGCTCGCCAAGCAGCGCATTCTGTCGTATTTTGCCCGATAAATGCCACGAGAAAACACAAATCTGAGCGCGTCACTGAGACAAAGAGGCACAGCGCCCGCGTGGTTGAGTCTACACCGTTCTCATGTGCCCTTTAAGGGGCCGGCTCCCAGCCTGAGAGGGAGGTTCCTCTGAACAGTCTAGTTTGTGCTCTTTCTCGCTCCGCTCGCAGCAAAAGCAGAACGATGGCGGAAGTCGCTCCTGCTCCAGCCGCCGCGCCGGCCAAAGCTCCTAAGAAGAAAAGCGCTGCCCGGCCCAAGAAAGCCGGCCCCAGCGTCGGCGAGCTCATCGTCAAGGCTGTTTCTCAGTCCAAGGAGAGGAGCGGCGTGTCTCTCGCCGCTCTCAAGAAGGCCCTGGCTGCCGGCGGCTACGACGTGGAGAAGAACAATTCCCGCGTCAAGCTCGCCGTCAAGAGCCTCGTGACGAAGGGCACCCTGGTGCAGACCAAAGGCACCGGTGCGTCAGGCTCCTTCAAGCTCAACAAGAAGCAAGCCGAGGCCAAGAAGAAGCCGGCGAAGAAAGCAGCAACCAAACCCAAGAAGGCGGCCGCCAAAAAGCCCGCCGCGGCCAAGAAGCCCAAGAAGGTAGCGGCGAAGAAGCCCGCGGCCGCCAAGAAGTCGCCGAAAAAAGCTAAAAAGGTAGCGGCGAAGAAGCCCGCGGCCGCCAAGAAAGTCGCCAAGTCTCCCAAAAAAGCCAAGAAGCCGGCGGCCCCGAAGAAGACGGCCAAGAGCCCGAAGAAAACAAAGGCGGTTAAGCCCAAAGCTGCCAAGCCCAAGACGGCGAAAAAGGCGGCTCCCAAGAAGAAGTAAACGTGCTGTTCACCCTCATGTCCTGTTTCTCCTATTGAAAAAAAAAACGGCTCTTTTAAGAGCCACCCACATTTTCCTATTAAAGAGTTCGATTTTCTTTCGTGCTGCACTTAAAAACTGGCCAGTTCGTAATATTTTAAAGCGCCAGGGTCAAAATTATGACCGAGTTGCCGTTTGCATTTACACGGATGAGAGTAGGAGCTGAAATTGGATAAAAAACAGCGAGGAGACAGGGACTTGCTTTGTTTCCTTCTTTGTTTCCTCATCTCTCAGTTCAGTTCAGGTTTGCTTTATTGACATGACAAATTTACATGTGTACTTTCAAAGTATTGAAAAAATTATATATCAAAAGTAAATAATATGCAAATAATAATAATAGTTACAAAACCAAGATTGATAACAACAAAGCAATTAAAAAGAGAAAGCGTTATCAATTAATTAAGTATACACAATAATAAAAAGAAAAACTATTTGATATGTGTCTGCAGCACATAATTTATCTTCATCTCCCAAAGTATCGTATGTATTTTATCTCTCTCTCTCTCTCTCTCTCTCTGTCTCTCTCTGTAACACATACACGCACGCGCGCGAGCGAAGGGGAGGTGGGGGGGGAGCAGAGATCTTGGAGAAGAAAGGTGGGCGGGCCCTAAGTGACGACGCTAATATGATTGGTTGTTGGATACCATCGCATTTTAGCCAATAGAAACATGGCAGCTTTGCCTATATGGAGGGCGTTCGGAAACGAATGCTTTTTATTTCAGTTTAGCTCCACAAACTAAACGTAAGTGCAAGATGAGTGGAAGGGGGAAAACCGGAGGTAAAGCTAGGGCGAAGGCCAAGACTCGCTCTTCCCGCGCCGGGCTGCAGTTCCCTGTGGGCCGTGTTCACAGGCTTCTGCGCAAAGGCAACTATGCCGAGCGCGTCGGCGCCGGCGCTCCAGTCTACTTGGCTGCCGTCCTGGAGTATCTGACCGCTGAGATCCTTGAGTTGGCGGGCAATGCCGCTCGCGACAACAAGAAGACTCGTATCATCCCTCGTCACCTGCAGTTGGCCGTTCGTAACGACGAGGAGCTCAACAAACTGCTCGGTGGAGTGACCATCGCTCAGGGTGGCGTGCTGCCCAACATTCAGGCTGTACTGCTGCCCAAGAAAACAGAGAAGGCGGCCAAGACCAAATAAATTGGGTTCTTCTGTCAAATTTAAAAAAAAAACAAAGGCTCTTTTAAGAGCCACCCACCATAGCAACAAAAGTGCAGTTTTTTTCCTTATGCTAAAAAGTAGAAAAAAACGACTTTCTATTGATCGTTAGTTCAATTCATTCTATCGTGTGTAGGATAGAATGAAATAAAAGCATCACAGCTTCACCACGTCCCACGATTGCGTACTGAATACCGTTCACCTTCCCGCGCATTCTTATCTACTGTTATGTACATTACATACGTTCCTGTCAGGTTTATTACTATAACAAGTTTAGGTTATTTTCATTCCGTACACACACACGTGCAAGTTATACGATTATGAACTCACGCATGAAATATATCACATTTTTGGCACAGTGCAAGCTTTAGAAGTGTGACTTAAAAGCTCTTATTTTGCTCGAATACAAGGCGAATAAACCCACATGAACGACTTTATAACTACGCGAAAGAAGGTCAAATAACAGGCGTGTAATAATGAATGATCCAAAAATCTGAGTAACGTTACACCGAACATGTAAAACAGAAAAAAACAAGAATGTGGTACATGAGCCCGCCAAGGCGTTGGGGCAGCGCCTTGTTATTTGAAAATGTTGGCGCGGCAGAAAACGCCCAATAGCGTTTAGCCATCGAGTGGGGAGCCGTCCAATGGAAGGCGGGCACATTCCGGACGCCCAATGAGCGGCGAGCAGCTCGAACCCTTAAAAGGGGCCACGGTCTGTGCGCAGAGTTATTCCGTTTCTTTGGTGCAGAAGAACAGAGTTTGACGTCATGGCAAGAACCAAGCAGACCGCCCGTAAGTCTACCGGTGGCAAAGCCCCGAGGAAGCAGCTGGCTACCAAGGCTGCTCGTAAGAGCGCTCCGGCTACTGGCGGCGTCAAGAAGCCTCACCGTTACAGGCCCGGTACCGTAGCTCTGAGGGAGATCCGCCGTTACCAGAAATCCACAGAGCTGCTGATCCGTAAGCTGCCCTTCCAGCGCCTGGTGCGGGAGATCGCTCAGGACTTCAAGACCGATCTCCGCTTCCAGAGCTCTGCCGTCATGGCTCTGCAGGAGGCTAGCGAGGCGTACTTGGTGGGTCTGTTCGAGGACACTAATCTGTGCGCCATCCACGCCAAGAGAGTCACCATCATGCCTAAGGACATCCAGCTGGCTCGCCGTATCCGCGGAGAGCGCGCTTAACTTAAACGGAGCGCTCCCAGCTTTTTCCCCAAAAGTACCCAAAGGCTCTTTTAAGAGCCACCCAAGTGTTTCAGTTCAAAAGAGCAACTGTCCTAGTAACCCCCGAGTTTTTTTACGTGCTGACTTAATTGGTCTGTGTGAGGAGGAAGCTATGGTGCTGATATTCATTCCGTCTTTGAGGTGTGTCTGTAGTGTAAAGAACTAGTTTCGAGCCTCTCCGTTAAAATAAAGCAAAAAGAGCAGGAGTAGCTTGAGAATGATTGTGTAATGATCGGTGTGTATATGCGCTTGTGCATTTATACGAAATTGCGCGGGAAAATGAACCGGCCTACGGCGGAACATTTTCTCTCCACCTCCATTGAGAATGATGTAATACGGAGATCTGACACTGGCGTTCTGTTCCAAAACCAAAAATAGAAATACTGCTCTTGGACATACAAAGCTAGGTGTGTAGATGTGCTTATATATACTTGTGTATATATACTATATATGTACTTATGTGACTGTAGTTCATAGCCCAACACAGAGTAATTGCGCGGGAACATGCACCGGCTTATCTAGACTCCGATATTCAAATTATAGCTCCGCCCTTCTGAATGCAGGCAAACGATCATTGGACAAATGTCAACGGCTCACTTGGCGGACAACTCTCAGCGCCCCCCTCCTCCCCCAACTAAAGACTTTCCTTTTGTTCACCTTCCCGCGCATTCTCAGCTAATGTGTGTCATGTACAATAAAACATTCCCATCAGGTTTATTAATATAGGAAGTTTCGGTTATTTGTTTAATTCCCTACACACGCGCGCATTTTTGTGTGTGTGTGTTTTGTTTGGTTTTGTTTTTTTTTTTATCTTTAGTGTTATGCAAATTGTCTTTGCAGTAATAAGTAACCAACTGTAACCTTCTTAAGTAATTAATAAGGTTGATTACTTTGTTAGTTAATTCTCCTCTTGTTACTTCTTTTCTTGAGGGCCTTGCTCTCCCTTCGCTGCTGTAGCACTGTGGTTTTCCCCGCTGTAGAACTAATAAAGGGTTGTCTTGTCCTATGTGATTTATCTCAAATCACGTCATGTCATTTTAAGTCGAAACATCAAAAATTGTACAAAGCACAAAAAAATAAATAAATAAATAAAAATAAACAGGCAAAGAAAGAAAAAAAAATGTAGTAATTTTAATACAATCAATCTTAATTTAAGTCAAATTTAGGTCACAGTGGTTTGTCTGGGCTGCTCGAAATGCAAAGAACCCCACTGTTATGGAGTAAGAAGCCTGAAGGAACAATGTAATAACAAAACGTATGAATATGTGTGTGTGTGTGTGTGTGTGTGTGAGAGAGAGAGAGAGAGAGAGAGAGAGAGAGAGAGAGAGATAAAGAGAAAGAGAGAGAGTGTGTGTTGTGTATTATATAAAATATATCACACTGTATTAAACAGTTTGCGTTGAAAATAAGTGCTACAGCTCTCATGCATGTCACTGATGAAGCTTGGGCGCCATCCTGTGGTCAAACCATGAACCGTCAAATCCGAGAAAGACCATTAGACTCCTTATTGTAAATGCTGAACTACTGTATGAAATGATGTAATACCACCTATGAAAATATCTCTTCTTCTACTGTTTGCAGGTTCACATTTTTGACCACACGATGGCATCCAAGCTCCATCGATGATAAATCGCCCTCAGCCTAAAACACCTGGGGCGAACTGTCTGCACTGTTTTCGCTTCTCTGATCAGCGAATTAATGCTTACACGTTATTTAAATGGTTTTAAATGGTTATTTTATTTTAATTTCAAAGGAAGTGTTGAAAAACGGGAAATGGTTCAGTTCTCGTTTTGGTTCGGTTATTGTCTGTGGAAAAATCAAGAAATAGCTTTGTTTTACAGTTTCAGAAAATCATCAATAAAAAAAAAATCAAAATAAAATCAAATAACAAACAAACGACAGCGGAATAAAGGGTCGTATTTATTTATCCAAATTTAAAAATTTCCTATCACTTCAAAGATGATAAAGACAGAAAAGATGCATTAGTGTTGAGCAGACAGACCTAATCCTGGCATTTTAGGAGAATATATGATGTTTTTACAGCTGTTTCTATATTTGATGTAGTTACTGTATCAGTAGAAACTGAAGCGATATGAGGAAGAGACTCTTAAAGGCTCCCGTCATCCGACTCTCCAGAAAACAAGCATTAATCCGAGTTAACCCAGGCGTGCAGGGGTCAACGCCTCCGCTTCTCACTCTCAGGAGGACTCCATCTCCCAGAATCTTCTGAGTGAGCACATGACCATGACGTCATCCCACACGACCTATCACAGATCTCCCTAATCGGATCACTGATTCTGTTCACCTGTGCTGTGTATCATATGACCCAGTTAGGATAGTTTATAAACCGGGCTTTAGGTTTAGTCATTGTGAGGTGTTGCTTTTGTGTTCCCTTCCCTTCCCTTCCCTTCCCTTCCCTTCCCTTCCCTTCCCTTCCCTTCCCTTCCCTTCCCTTCCCTTCCCTTCCCGGGCCTTTTCCGCCTTGTTCCTGTTGGAGTTGTTTGCCTGGTCTTCTGTGTTAAGTTGTCTATTTTTTTTATTGTCTTTGTTAGATTTGACCTTGGCCTGTTTTGTAATGATGTCTTTGGATAAAGAACTGAGTAGTAGAGCTTCTTTGACTGTTTTTATCTGCGAGCGTCTGACTGATTCTGGCCCTCCAAATATTTCAAACTTTTAGATTTGCACATCATTATCTCCATTTTTGTTAAATAATTGCAGGCTGAAGCCCCTCAGCGGCCTTTGACCTTTATTTGCTTCTATATATTATTTTAAATTAGTTTTCCAATTAAGTTTCTACTTTGTTCTCTTTTTCAATGACACATTTAATGTTTTATGGTACAAACTGTGTCTTGCTCTGTGTGTGTGTGTGTGTGTGTGTGTGTGTGTGTGTGTGTGTTTGTTTGTGCCCCTCTCCAAGTCACAGCTTTTGATGAGGTCTTCTTGGCACAGACCACTACATCTCCTATCCCACACTCAAGGTCCCTCATGGATACACACACAAACACACAGTGATACATGTTCATACTCAGCTAAAGCTATTCAGCAAATTATCAAAAAAATCTCCTCCACAGACTTCAGAAAGCCCACACTGAGCCCTCATATGAGGGAAATCGGAAATCCACACTAAGCCCTCACCTGACACGTGCAGGGCTGCATGCTCGAAACACACACACACAAACACACACACAATAGAAACACACACAGCACAGTTTCAGAGAATCAAAAAGTGTGGATGTGTTTGAACAAAAAATGCTGACATTGTAGTAGTTGATATTGTTTAATAATATACACTTCAGTTTATTACTATATACTTTTTTTTTTTTCTAAACACAATATTAGTGATTAATCTGCTGCTGATACACTAAAAGCTGATAATGAAGAAATAATAATAATAATAATAATAATAATAATAATAATAATAATAATCTGAAAATGTTACACAAGACATGCATAAAAATGTACCTGTTTCCTTTTATAACTCTTTTTGCAGAAATTAAAACAACTGCAATAAATTCATATTGCTTATGATTATCAGAGTGCTGTGATAAGGAGAATATATGTGTAGAAATATCACTTCACAAAAATCCATATAAGCAAAGAGAAGCTCAGAGCATTTTGCAGAGTGTAACTGTACTGTATATGAATTTAGACATAAATAATGAAGAGTTTCTGACACTTTAGTGTTTTATCTGCTTCATCACACCTGATTCATCTAGTGAACTAGAGCATGTTGACTGGAACAGGCAAGTCAGAGCTGTGAAAACACTGAACTGTGCTGCACTCTGATCTTCCAGGGTTGAGAAAACTGTTGTTTACGGTTGTTTAACTTCACAAACAGCTCTAAGAGCAGAAACGTCCATCTTCTGTCTGAATGCTTCCTGCCCAGTGTCTGTCCCAGCCCGGCCGAGGGACGGCGGAGACTCTGTCCGTCTCTCGTTCCAGTTGGTCCAGGGTCCCAAAGCCAGCTTAGTGAACGACTTCAGCAGCTCAGAGAGTTGACTCTGTCCAAGCCCCACCCACAGAGGCCCAGAGACACGCCTCCTCCTGAGCTCAGACTCCACCTCTTTCTGGTCCAGATCAGATTCAATGCGCAGAATAGCACTCCTGTTATCTCTCTTACAGTAATCCAGAGCGCTCTCCCAGCTCATAAGCTCAGCACTGACATGGATCAGGGCTGATGAGGCATAAAACACAAACAGACAGGGATGTTTTAGAGTGACTGATTTACAGAAGGTATGTTGTGTTTGTGATACTGAGCACTGCTGAGAGAATCAGAGAGCTCGTATGGTCATGATTTACTGCAGTAACACAGTGAAAGATACAGCGCTGTACGGCTCTGTTTCACATTTCTCTTTACTCTGTTGTGCACAAAGGTCAAATAAATTACCTGTTTATCTGTAGATGCATGTATTCTGTACATTAGGGTTTATGAAATCATATTTCATTCTTAAAGTCACTTTTGATATCACGCTGCATCTGTTTATAGATCTTGCTTTAATATTCCACTAATCTAGTATACACACTTACAAATGATGGTTCTTTGAGGGTTTTTAAATAGTTCTATATAGAACCATGAACACTGAATGAACCCTCTGCATGATTAAAGGAGTCTTTTCATCATGAAAGCGTTCTTCAGTTTGATGCTGAATGTGCTCTAAATGGTTCTATATAAAAAAGTGTTGTTCTATTGTAACAAGCTTGACATCGTAACGATAAAGAACGCTTTTTGGTGCCGTATAAAACACTTTTCAAAAAGGTTCTGTATAGAACCATCTACTACACATTCTCCAACTGTCTAAACAACCGTTTTACATCACAAAGAACCCTTTAATCACACAAATCATGTCTTCATAACTGAATGATCATAAGAGTCCTGCAGACAATTTTGTCTAGATTTATATTATCGTCCAAACTTAATAATGAGTAGGTATTTATGATTGATGTTATTTAAGGTTTGTAACTGATGAGATTCATGAAGTAGATATTACACTAGAATCCAAAGAGCATCACTCTAATATAACAGAATGAAGAAACTGACAGATCAAAATCATGGTTTGTTTTAAGATGTAGTAACAAAATTAGCCATAAACAAAAGACATTCAACAAAATTCACGTCTTATATAATTCGCATCTCATCAGTTTATAATACAAGTCGCAAATTAGTTCTTATCAACACCGGGAAGGGCGGAGCTCTGATTTTCTTAATAGATTCTTCTCCATATCCTCCTACATACTGTGGTGTTTCTCATCACTGCCTTTTCACTCATATTATATCAATTAAGTTTTCATTAGTGTTTGAAAGATCCTGACTTACTGTGGTGGCACAGAACAGAATAAACACCACTGCATGTCCTTGTTTCCCATTTCCCATTTCTCAATTGTACACAGTCAAGCGGTGATGATTGAGGATGACCAGTCGCCCAGTTTCTGTAGGCAGAGCGTCCTCCATCAGTCCACTCCCAGTCATCACTCAGCAGGCCGATCCAGAAGGACGTGCTGCTCTTCAGCCCTTCTATCTTCACTGCTTCATTCTGGTTCTGATCTCTGATGCTGACCAGGTCAGTGTAGGTGTTCCTGCAGTAACTCTGAGCTTCATACCAGCTCATATTCCCAAAGGTTAAATGATGATTGAGGGTGAGGTCAGTGTCTATGGGGGAAAAAGAAAAACCTCTTATTGACCTCGTAATTCAGAGCATCCAGTGACATTTGGGGAAAGCTGTTCACGGAACGAAACCTATTGAATTTGAAACACTGTGTTTCTTGTTTGGTCTTGATGTGACTACATCAATATACACAACTTCAGAGATCAATTTTAGCCCCCAAATATCCAGCCTACACACCCACCCTTTCAAAAGAACTGTCCCTTGTGGCTCATTAATAAACCAGTGAATTCAGTACAGTGATGACTCGCATGACATAAAAATACAATCAACTCCATAATTATTGGCATTGTTTGTAAAAATGAGTAAAAAAGGTCATGAAAAATACATTTGCGGCAGACTTTTTTTCATTAAAATTTTTGGCAATAATTATTTGTACTTATCTGTTTATGTATTACTATGCAGACTGGTAAAGTCTAGTGTGACGTTCAAGTCAGTATTAAACCTGCTACAGATGGATGTACTTTGATCATTAGAAGGAATGCTGGGAGTTGAAGCTGATATATATATATATATCATGTTCAACCAGAGCCAGATTATGAGGAGTCTGGCCTCTTCCTATTTCCCCCCTTATATCAAATACATGACTGCCATGAAGTCCTCAATGAATGGGAGTAAATGAAGCTAAATGGCTAAAAACAAAAAGTTTAAATAGTTTCTAATCACTTACACAGAACTTTCCTTTAATTTTATAAAGTAGAAAGATGTATTTAAAACATGCCGTTTTAAACTCTGTGTTAAAATGCTTTATTCTGTTCTGTGTTCAGGAAGTGATTGTATTCTTTTATCTTTACATTTTTTAAACATTTACGATATACTTATAATATTTATAATAATATTAGATATTTTACTCAAATGCTCCATATTAACCCATTCATTTTGGACTCGCTCGGGAGCGCCCTCTAGAGGTTGAGAAACCCCGGAAGACATTACACAGTGGAAATTCTCCTCTCTACAAGTTCTCTGGTTGAACTGATGTGTGCAGGGAAAGTGCAGAATTGCGCCATCTGCTGGTCACATTCAAAACATTCATTTCACCATAGAGGAAATTTTTGATGACAGATTAAACTAATTTAAAGCTGGAACTTTTGAATAACTTGTGAATAAAATACTGTAGTACAACATTTTAGTGAATCATATAACTGTGAAGATTAAAATATATTCTACTACTGCACCCGTGGCTCAGTGCCACCGCTGCATCATGGGAAGTGACATTCATGCGACCGACTTTGTACACTTCTAAAACTGTATTTCTGTTTCAGTGTCAAGTATAACTGAATATGGAGTCACACGACGCTTTATGTTGTACAACCTGTAATGTTCTTCACATCTAATTCACTGTTAACTGATCTAAAGATTTTCCTCCCTTTAGTTTATATCTGTATAGTCAATATTCAGTATTTACCTTGTTTATAACACATGCAGTTTCTTTTCTCTGTGTTTCTTTTCTCTGTTCTTTTCTCTGATAGCAGTCGTGCTAATCAGATTATCCAGTGCAGTGTTGTCTTCATCGCTGTACACAGTGACCAGGTCAGTGTAGTTTGTTCTGCAAACTATTCGAACTTCGGTGGGATTCATACTGTTCTCAATGAGGTGGAAAGTTCTGAGACGATTTTGGTCTGCAGGAGAGAAAACTGTAGAAGGAAGTTCTGTAGTTAATGCAGCAGAACAGAAGTAACACATGTAGATGTGTTTAAACCTATATGGGCTTTGTCCCTTTTTTTTCAGAGAAGAGAAAACACTTTAATGTGTACACTTGAAATTTTGGACTAATATTGAGTTGATGGACATGTATAATTTTTTTTTTTTCTTTTTTGTAAGCTTACAGCGGTTACATATTTTTGCACAAAATACTTGTACTGGAGCGTGGTGAAACTGGGAACCTTAAATAAGTTTTTCCAGGTGAAAAGTTTGTATTTGTACCTTTTCATAACTGAATGTTTTAAGACAGAACAGTAAAATAAAAAGCCTGGAGACGAGACGGGGTGTGTGGAGTCGGTACAGCTTAGAACATATCATTTCAGTGGATTATGGTTCAGTTATGTTCCCTGACTAAAGGTACTGAGATGTACCCTTGAGGGTCCCACTCCACTGACAAGAGGGGGACTGCCCCAGTGACAGTTACTACCTTTATTTCTGAGAGTATATAATACAGTTTGGGAGTTCTACAGTCTAACAAAGGACCACACATTTTCATACCTCAGTACATGTATTTTTATGTAATCTCAACCTTTTCAGTTTTTCACTTTCACACACATCACCATACTGAAACTGCATTCCCCAGAGTCGCCAATGACCTCCTGCTTTCTGCACACGCTGGATCTCTAAAAAATCTAAGTGCATTCTGAGGCCTACGTGCATTTTTTGACACTGTAATTCACAATATTGCCCTTTTACATCTAGTACCTATTAGTCTTACTAGCATTGCTCTTATAGGGATTGGTCTTACTGGTATTGGTATACTGCCACTAGTCCATTGGTCTTACTGGTATTGCTCTTACAAGTGCCAGTCCCATCACTTCCAACAGGAAATCCATCACTATTCCCCTAGTGCTGATCTCTAATCTTAAGCTCTGGATGAATGAAAACTTTCTTAAATTAAATGCACACAAAAACTCTCCTTGAAGGTACCAGAATGTCCAGTTTTAATGCTGACATTGACCCTTAAATCCTAAACTAGCTGTCTATGCGGTAAAATGCTTTAACCTTCTTCTGATTCAATATTAAAGTAGAAAAACAACCATCAAATGATACTGCCGGAGCTCAGCACTGCGTGAACAATTAAAACACATCTGTTGCTACCAAGGTTATTTGTGTTTATACATGTTGCATTTAGATCCACCCCTAATGATTTTATGTCATTTCATGTAAAATTTTACTGACCTGTAGGATCTTTATATTGTGGCGTAGCTGTGCCTGTGTATCTGTGTGTGTGTTAGTGCTGCTCATTTGCATACTCATTTGCAAAAAGGGAGTGACAGTGAAAACCTGAAGCCTCTTTAATTAAACAATATTACATTTATTATCTTTTAAATAGGTTCTCAACATTTGTGTATGAATGACCAATGCAGGTTCCTTCTGGCTCACAGCCCTGCAGAGTTTAACACTAGCGTTCCTCCAAAGACACCTGATTCAACTCATCAGCTAATTTAGTGTCTTCATAAAGTGAATTCAGAGCATTAGGAAAACTAAAACGCGAGCCTTTGCTGTACATGGACCAGGAAAGAACCCTGCCTGAAACCCCTGCCCTAGTGTTTGCAGCACGCTGGCACTGCCAATTTGAAAACTCTGTAGATTGGAAATATAACTTTACATTTTCATGTCAAGTTTTGTTTTTCATCAGTTAAACCAGAACTGCCACGCGCTAAAGACGCGCGAGGTGCATGAATGTTGCTTTTTGTAGCTCCGGAGCTAGGAGCCAGTCCTCCTCTGGCTGGCGGGGTGTCCGATTAGAGTTTCGAGCTGGGGGAGCTGATCTGCTCTCCAGGGCTCGGAGACAGAGTGTGGCTGCAGGAGCTGTGGAGCTGAGGAAGGAGAGAAGGACATGAGTTACACACAACAATTACTTTCTCTCATACAGTAATAAATAAGCACTACTCTGCCTTCGCTGGACAACCTGCTCCTCCATCATTAAGGTGACCTTCCCATCGTCACAAGACAGCCAGCATGAATCTGACTGGTTGGAGCAGTCACTCAGGTAGTGTCCTAAAAGAGAGAGAGAGAGAGAGCGATAAAAAGAGTGAAAAAGTCAGAGTGAGACAGATGGCATGTAATTCTTTAAGTTTCTTACACTAACAGAATATATTACTGATAAAGCAATAAGCCACGAGAGGCCTTGGGTGAGTATTTTTACAATGGCTTCAAATGCAGCTCAGCCAATCAGATTTCAGAACCAAAGCTATGACTTCTACTTTTATCATGCTTGAATGTTTTTGCTGTTTTACTGTATGTGATCTTACCGAAGTTTATGCTGTGTCCCACACGGTTCAGCACACTGATCAACGAGAACCTGAAGACTGTTTCACTCTAATATGAAAATAAAGAAAAGAAAACAATAATTACACACATTCAGTACATGATGATTCTTTTACTGTGCAAATTTATCCAATTTACTTTTTTTCACTTTTGCTCCTGTCTCATTCTCTACTCCCCAACTCTCCTATATTTTCTTTCACTTTTCATCTCTCTCTCTCTCCGTCTCTTTCTCTCTCTCCCTCTCTGTGTGTCCCTCTCTCTCTCCCTCTCTCTCTCTCTTTCTTTCTCTCTCTCTCTCTCATTCTTTCTCTGTCTGTCTCTCTGCCTCACCAGTTCATTTCTCTCTCCCTTTTCTTTCTTCAGCTGTTGTTGCTCTAGACAAAGAGGAAAGTCACACAGAAATGAAAGATTAGCTCTGATTGGTTGCAGTGAGTGTGATGTTTACTGTCTGTGTTAAATGATCTGATTAATCAACAGTTGCGCTCAAATCTGTAAACTCATATTCTGATACAGCATTATACTAATTACTTAATTACTTTGACAGCGTGGATTCTAATCACTCTTGTGAAATGTTTCGTAAAAATATTGTGATTTACCCTTTGGGGGCGTGTCTCTAAAGAGATGTGAAAGGTGTGAAGCTCTTTTCTTCTGATTGTGTCCTGTTGATTCTCCAGAGTTGCTGCAAAACACAACAAGAACAGCTTCACAAAGTGTGTGAGTGAACATGAGAGACTCAGTTGTGTGTGTGTGTGTGTGTGTTTTGTGTGTGTTTTGTGTGTGTGTGTGTGTTTTGTGTGTGTTGTGTGTGTGTGTGTTTTGTCATCTTTGCACTGGAAGGCTCAGCTGTAACTCTGTGTCTATTTGAATCTCATCGTGCTGCTTCTCAATGCGATCAGCCGACAACCCTAAAGAGAGAGAGAGAGAGAGAGAGAGAGAGAGAGAGAGAGAGAGAGAGAGAGAGAGAGAGAGAATAAATACACTGTAGAATCACAGAGGATCACATAGATCTAGTGTTGAGCTGCTGAGCTGCTCTGTCTGTTTTGTTTCTGTCTCAGAGCAGATCCTGAAGAGCTGCTGAGGCAGTTTCATCAGTAATTACGTTTTTATCCAAGATTTTTTTGGAAAAATGTTAAACACTTTAAAAAGTTTGTTGATGTCGGCTGTAGAAACAGAAAACAGAAATCTTCTGTAACAATTCATGAATGGTGACAAAACTTTTTTTCCATTCAACTTTAGTGGATAAATTGTTTGTCAATACTTAAAATGCTGCAAAACAACATTGGAAATGTTTTTATGGTAAAAATGGTGCCTTTGGACAAACATTTAGTGTCACGTGACAGATTTGAACTATGTCTCTTACAGTAAACACAAACAGCATGGTGGGGAGGTACAGCAGGACTAAGAGGAGACGAGAGCATTTTTACTGTCAAATAAAGCACAAAATGTCCAACAGGGAGACGAGCAGCTGATAACTGAAGGTCAAATCTCTTGGACATTTAATGCACTGTTTAGATGCAGAGGCCAGAACTTCATGAACTATGCAGTGAACTAGGTAAGAAGCAGGCAGCCATTTCAGATTCAGCAAAACTTATGCAACAAAAGTGATTTGCAGGAAATGATGTCATTGTGTAAAGCATTTCGTCACTAAAAGTCAGTTTGACAGAAAGAGCTACTGGGCAGAAGCATTTTTTTTATGCATTTTCATTTTATCACACAAAAAAATACAAACACTCTGGATCTGCTTACCTGGGCAGTGTGTGGAACTCCCACCTGCAGCTGGCAGAGTTACATCCACACACCTCACACCTGCACTCAATTTCTGCCTCGTCCTACACAAAACAAACACACACAAATATAGAAATCATAAGCTGGGTTTCCATCTAAGCATTTTTATGTGTGTTCTGGCACATTCAATGAAAACAACTTGATGGAAACTGCAAATAATTTATGATGGAAATATATTTGCACAAATAAATACTATAATGAGAATAAACACGTATCGAATTAAGCCATATGACTGATCAGGTGACTCTGTTATTCCCAGCTGTTACTAGGAAACATGGCAGAAGACAGCAAGTATCAATTGACTGATAAAGAAATTAAAACGTACTTCTATGAAAACACAGTGATTTTAGATGGTAAACAGACATAAAGCGCCTGCAGCTGATCTTAAGTCATTTTATCACATCAGTGCATTTTATCTTTGTGAAATACAGTCATAACATTAAACATAACAGCAAAAAGAAGTTACTGAATGTCAAACATTTCTCTGCAAACTCGCTCCATATTTCTCTGGTGTTAGTGCATCATAAAGACAAGTGTGTGTGCATTGTAGAAAGAGACAGAGAATGAGTGTCAGCTACTTACACTGAAGAAGGGTTTGATGCAGTCTTACACTGAAAACGAGGGGAGAGACTTTATATGTTTTTGTATTTTTTTTATATAAAATGTAGACTACATTTTTTATTAAAAAATGCAGGGGATATTTTCATTGAACATTAACTAAACTTATACTATAGCAGCACCCAATATGTAGTGTAATTATTATTTTTTTGATCAGAGAAGCGAAAACAGTGCAGAAAGACCATCCCAGGTGTTTTGGGCTGATGGAGCTTGGATACCATCGTGTGGTCAAAATGTGAACCTGCAAGTAGTAAAGTAAGAGATATTTTCATATGTGGAAATATTGTGTTGCTGAGTGACGTCTTGAATTACTGTGTTTGTGACGCTGCGTAAATAAAAATAGAAATAAAATGACAATAATTTACAGTAATTATAACAACCAAACCACGTCATATTATACAGTAGTTCAGAATTTACAATAAGGAGTCTAATAATCTTTCTCGAACTTGCCTGTTCACGGTTTGATCACAGGATGGCGCCCAAGCTTCATCAGAGACATACATGAGCGCTGTAGCGCTTATATTTAGAATAGGCCCAATCAGGACAGTACGTGTGATACCCAACAGCTAAGAATGCGCGGGAAGGTGAACAAAGGGAAAGTCTTTAGCTGGGGGGAGGAGGGGGGGGAGAGGGGATGAGGGGGGCGCTGAGAGTTGTCCGCCAAGTGAGCCGTTGACATTTGTCCAATGATCGTTTGTCTGCATTCAGAAGGGCGGAGCTATAATTTGAATTTCGGAGTCTAGATAAGCCGGTGCCGGGCGCGCTTCCTCGTTCTTCAGTTGTACTCGAAGAAAAGAAAACCATGCCTGAACCCGCCAAGTCCGCCCCGAAGAAGGGCTCCAAGAAAGCCGTGACTAAGACGGCTGGTAAGGGAGGCAAGAAGCGCAGAAAGTCCAGGAAAGAGAGCTACGCGATCTACGTGTACAAGGTGCTGAAGCAGGTCCACCCCGACACCGGCATTTCCTCCAAGGCGATGGGCATCATGAACTCGTTCGTCAACGACATTTTCGAGCGCATCGCCGGTGAGTCGTCTCGTTTGGCTCATTACAACAAACGCTCCACCATCACGTCCAGGGAGATCCAGACCGCCGTACGCCTGCTTCTTCCCGGTGAGCTGGCCAAGCACGCCGTGTCCGAGGGCACCAAGGCCGTCACCAAGTACACCAGCTCCAAGTAAGAAGTGACAAATTTCATCAAACCCAACGGCTCTTTTAAGAGCCACCCACGTTTCCACTCAAAGAGCTTGTTTCGTTTTGTGAATGTCAAGGAAAGCAGGATATTTCTGTGGAGGCGCGAAGAAAAGATGAACAAGGGTTCTGCTGCATTTCAGTCAGTTTTCCCATGTAATTATGTAGTCTGCCAGTAGTTACTCTATTTTGTGGGTAACAGTAAGGCTTAAAATAAGTTATAAATGTAAAAGCACATACACATGCGTGTCCTTTGCTGTGTGTATACAAACAAAATGTCTGATCCAGTACGTGATCTGCAGTTCCTTCTTCAAACACCTGTAAAATACAGGAAACATCCAGGCTTTTTTTGAGTTAAAAGGCTTTTAAACCTTTTTTTTTTTTCCCCTTTCTTTACATGCATGTTTGTATTTATGAATAAAAATCATTGCGTGCATGTTTGTTATTAGAGCTGTTTACTTACATTTTCTTTATATGTCGTGTGGGGTTGTGTGTGTTTGTGCATTTTAAAGCTTTTGAATAGTGGAATAACAGGAGGTCAGTGTGTGTGTGGCACAAATGGGAAGAACTATGAAACGTAATAAATGAATATACAAATAAAGGTTATATTGTATGTCCTGCAGAAGTATGTTGAAGGTAGAGTGAGCAATTTTGTTTTTTTCCTGTGTATTATTGTTAATGTTTATGAAATGAATAAAAAGGAAGTTGTAAGTTAAAAAAAGTTGTAAAGTTAAAGTCTTTATTGTACTAACATAAGTAACAGTGGTTTCAGTGCAAGGTCTTAGGTTCATGAGGAGATAAAGATAAAACATAAATCTAAGGTGTAGCTCTATAAGCCCTGTTACTTACTCTGTGTATAGGTTAAGTCTTACGCTTATGATGAAGCTAGTGCAAGCAAAAGTAGACTTTCAGTGAGGCCTCAGGCTTATAATGTAGATAGCTTAAGTAAGTGATACTATAGAGCTCAGTCTTAGGTTTATGAATAAATAAGAGATTGAGATAAGTCAGTATAGGGCAAGATCTTAGGTTTCTAAAGAAGTTAGAGTTAGCAAAATGAGATTTCCAGGTAGGCCTCGGGCCTAGATAGAGTAGATGATGGTAGCTTTAGAATGAGGCCCTATAGGCTTGTAGTGTAGTTAGTGTGAGAACAAGATGTTATAGTTCTACAATTAAAGAATGTCAAAGTAATCTTAGGGCAGGGCCTCCGGCTTGTGAAGTAGTAAGAGTGAGTGAAAACTGAAATCCATAGGGCTCCATTAGACTTATGATGAAGTTATAAAATTAAATCAGGTACAGAACGAGGCTAAGCTCATGTTGTAGTTAGAGTAGGCCAAATTAGTCTTACCGCTAGGCCTCAAGCTTAACATGTATTTAGAGTAATAGTAAATTTAGAGTTAGGCCTTTTTTGAGGTTTATGGTGAAATTAGATGAAGTGAAAGTAGATTTAGGGCAAGACCTTGACCGTTGCTGAGGTCAGAGTAAGGTGATGACCCCTCCTTGCCCATCCCAAATATTTCAGATCTTTTAAGTTACACACCATTATCTCCAACCTTCATGACTACTTTGAACACTATTATATCCAAACCTTACATAGTTTCTTTTATTATCTGTCACATCATTGTTAACATCATTATTTTTTCTAATCAAGAATGATTCCATTATTTCCAAACCAAAAAGTAAAATATTTTCAAAGATAATCAAAGATAAACTTTATTGACTTTGTGTATTATTACTGTTCAATATGGTTACAACTAAGTCTCTCTACGTGTGCGCTTTTCTCCTTCAAAGACATTTTAGTCTTAAAATGGAACAAACAGGTTCTTGCACTTTGCATTAATACTCAGGGTCACCCACACACACACACAGAAACACACAGGGGGAGAGCTTCTCATGGCACAGAGAGCCATACAGTAAAATATCATAATATAATAATGTTTCCATATGAGATTCTGGTTATTTCCCACTGGTCAAGTCAAAGTTCATTTACAAGGCATTTTTTTACAACAGCACATCAGCAGAGAGCAGGCTCTGGCCCCGCGGGCCGCCGACCTCACGCCTGTGCTTTACTCGCTCCAAGAGAGCCCGTTTTACACATAGTCAACGAGGCGCTCGGTCGCTGGAAGTTCGCCCACGCCCTCGCCGAGGCTCTCCCCGAACGCGCTGTTGAGCTCTCCGAAAGTTCACGCCGGCGTTTGCCGCCGTTTTCCACCGATTATCGCGCCAAATAAGTCGTCTCTAGTTCGGAGCGGCGACCGCCCGGCGCCCTTTTGTGATCCCCCTGTAAAACGAGGCGTCGCTGCGCGCCTATTCGTGGACTGGGGACACACGGCAGAGCCTCTTCTAGAGGAACGAGCCGTTGGACGCTCGCCAAGCAGCGCATTCTGTCGTATTTTGCCCGATAAATGCCACGAGAAAACACAAATCTGAGCGCGTCACTGAGAGAAAGAGGCACAAACCCCGCGTGGTTGAGTCTACACCGTTCTCATGTGCCCTTTAAGGGGCCGGCTCCTCGCCTGAGAGGGAGGTTCCTCTGAACAGTGCAGTTTGTGTTCGTTCTCGCTCCGCTCGCAGCAAAAGCAGAACGATGGCGGAAGTCGCTCCCGCTCCAGCCGCCGCGCCGGCCAAAGTTCCCAAGAAGAAAAGCGCTGCCCGGCCCAAGAAAGCCGGCCCCAGCGTCGGCGAGCTCATTGTCAAGGCTGTTTCTCAGTCCAAGGAGAGGAGCGGTGTGTCTCTCGCCGCTCTCAAGAAAGCCCTGGCTGCCGGCGGCTACGACGTGGAGAAGAAAAACTCCCGCGTTAAGCTCGCGGTTAAGAGCCTCGTGACAAAGGGCACTCTGGTGCAGACCAAAGGCACCGGTGCGTCAGGCTCCTTCAAGCTCCACAAGAAACAAGCCGAGGCCAAGAAGAAGCCGGCGAAGAAAGCAGCGACTAAACCTAAGAAGGCGGCCGCCAAAAAGCCCGCCGCGACCAAGAAGGTAGGGGCGAAGAAGCCCGCGGCCGCCAAGAAATCGCCGAAAAAAACCAAGAAGGTAGCAGCGAAGAAGCCCGCGGCCGCCCAAAAAGTCGCCAAGTCTCCCAAGAAAGCCAAGAAGCCGGCGGCCCCGAAGAAGACGGCCAAGAGCCCGAAGAAAACAAAGGCGGTTAAGCCCAAAGCTGCCAAGCCCAAGGCGGCGAAAAAGGCGGCTCCCAAGAAGAAGTAAACGAGCCGTCCTCTTTCATGTCCTCTTTCTGTATAGAAAAACGGCTCTTTTAAGAGCCACCCACATTTTCCTCTCAAAGAGTTAGATTTTCCTTCGTGCTGCACTCAAAAGTTTGTCATTACTAGTTAGTAGTGATATTATAAGAAACCGCCAGGCTCGACATTATAATCGAGTTGCCCGTTTGCATTTACATGGATGAGAGTAGGAGCGGAAATGGGGTAAAAACACAGCGAGGAAACGGATTTTCTTTCTTTGCTTCCTTCTGTCTTCATCGCTCTCTCAGTTCCGTTCAGGTTTGCTTTATTGACATGACAAATTTACATGTGTATTGTCAAAGCACTGCAAAAATTCTGTATCAAAAGTAAACAATAATAATAATAATAATAAAAATAGTTACAAAACCAAGATTGATAACAATAAAGCAATTAAAAAGAGAAAGTGTTATCAATTAATAATATAAAAGTATACACAATAATAAAAAGAAAAACTGTTTGATATGTGTCTGCAGCACATAATTTATCTTCATCTCCCAAAGTATCGTATGTATTTTATCTCTCTCTGTGTGTGTGTGTGTGTCTGTCACACACACACACACACACACACACGAAAGTCAGATGGCAGATGGCTTAGAGAGGAATGGTGGGCGGTCCCTAAACGTCGACCACGCTAATATGATTGGTTGTTGGAGGCCATCGCATTTTAGCCAATAGAAACGTAGCAGCTTTGCCTATATGAGGGGCGATCCTGCGCTCTTTATTTCAGTTTAGTTCAACGTATTTAGCTAAAGCCTGAGATGAGTGGAAGAGGGAAAACTGGAGGTAAAGCTAGGGCGAAGGCCAAGACTCGCTCTTCCCGCGCCGGGCTGCAGTTTCCTGTGGGCCGTGTTCACAGGCTTCTGCGCAAAGGCAACTATGCCGAGCGCGTCGGTGCCGGCGCTCCAGTCTACTTGGCTGCCGTCCTGGAGTATCTGACCGCTGAGATCCTTGAGTTGGCCGGCAACGCCGCTCGCGACAACAAGAAGACCCGTATCATCCCTCGTCACCTGCAGTTGGCCGTCCGTAACGATGAGGAGCTCAACAAACTGCTCGGTGGAGTGACCATCGCTCAGGGTGGTGTGCTGCCCAACATTCAGGCTGTACTGCTGCCCAAGAAAACAGAGAAGGCGGCCAAGACCAAATAAATTGGGTTCTTCTACCAAATTATACACAAAGGCTCTTTTAAGAGCCACCCACCATAGCAACAAAAGTGCAGTTTTTTTCCTTATGCTAAAAAGTAGAAAAAAACGACTTTCTATTGATCGTTAGAGGTTATTGTGTTTACGATAGAATGAAATGAAAGGATCACAGCTTCACCACGTCCCCACGACTGGATACTAAATACCACCCCCCGCTCCTTTTCTTCCCAGCTAAAGACTTTTCCTTTGTTCACCTTCCCGCGCATTCTCATCTACTGTTATGTACATTACATACGTTCCTATAAGGTTTATTAATATAACAAGTTTCCGTTGTTTCATTCCGTACACATACAAGTGCAAGTTATACGATTATGAACTCACGGAAGCGCATGAAATATATCACATTTTTTGGCACAGTGCAAGCTTTGGAAGTGTGACGTATAAACTACGCGAGTGAAGGTCAAATAATAGGCGTGCAATGATGAATAAACCAAAAATCTGAGTAACGTTACACCGGACGTGTAAAAAAAGAAAAAAAAACAAAAATGTGGTACAGGAGCCCGCCAAGGCGTTGGGCAGTGTCTTGTGATTTGAAAATGTTGGCGCGGCAGAAGACGCCCAATAGCGTTTAGCCAGCGCGTGAGGAGCCGTCCAATGGAAGGCGGGTACATTCCAGACGCCCAATGTTGCGGCGAGCAGCTGGAACGCTTAAAAGGGGCCGCATTATGTGTGTGAACTCATTCTGTGTCTTTAGTGGATAAGTGCAGAGTTCGATATCATGGCAAGAACCAAGCAGACCGCCCGTAAATCTACCGGTGGCAAAGCCCCGAGGAAGCAGCTGGCTACCAAGGCTGCTCGTAAGAGCGCCCCAGCTACTGGCGGCGTCAAGAAGCCTCACCGTTACAGGCCCGGCACCGTGGCTCTGAGGGAGATCCGCCGTTACCAGAAATCCACAGAGCTGCTGATCCGTAAGCTGCCCTTCCAGCGCCTGGTGCGGGAGATCGCTCAGGACTTCAAGACCGATCTCCGCTTCCAGAGCTCTGCTGTCATGGCCCTGCAGGAGGCTAGCGAGGCGTACTTGGTGGGTCTGTTCGAGGACACTAATCTGTGCGCCATCCACGCCAAGAGAGTCACCATCATGCCTAAGGACATCCAGCTGGCTCGCCGTATCCGCGGAGAGCGCGCTTAACTTAAACGGAGCGCTCCCAGCTTTTTCCCCAAAAGTACCCAAAGGCTCTTTTAAGAGCCACCCAAGTGTTTCAGTTCAAAAGAGCAACTGTCCTAGTAACCCCCGAGCTTTTTTTACGTGCTGTGTACAATGCAAATAAGTAGATTGAGAATGAGGTAACACTGGCGTTCAGTTCCATATTTGCCAAGCAGTACAAACAACAAAAACAAAAATACTGCTCTTTGACAATTTTATACACGTACAAATCTGTAGGTGTGTCCATGCGCTTATACGACTGTAGGTCATAGTCCAACACAATAGCATAACTACAGACAGGAAAGAAATTGCGCGGGGAACTGAACAGGAATGCGACAGAACCCTACAAAACTAAACAAAACATACCTGGCCAATAAATTTCCCCGTAGTGGGACTAATACAGAAATATTTATGATTCTGAAATAGAATGATTATTAAACACAATCAACACTTCTGAGGCGCCGTCCAACTAGCTTTCGCCCCCACTCCTTTTCTAATTATTCCAGCATTAAACTAAAGTCATTCAAGTAGTTTTTAAAAGCTGAAATCATTAGCGAACCGGAATGCTTTCATTATTACTGGGTTATAAGGCAAAACTCTTCTGGTGGGTCTGTGGGGGGCTCTTAAAAGAGCCGTTGGGTTTATCGTTGTTCGAGTCGAGCGTTTAGCCTCCGAAGCCGTACAGGGTTCGTCCCTGACGCTTCAGGGCGTAAACCACATCCATGGCGGTGACGGTCTTCCTCTTGGCGTGCTCGGTGTAGGTGACGGCGTCCCTGATCACGTTCTCCAGGAACACCTTGAGCACGCCGCGGGTCTCCTCATAGATCAGACCAGAGATACGCTTGACACCGCCACGGCGAGCCAGACGACGGATAGCTGGCTTGGTGATGCCCTGGATGTTATCGCGAAGCACTTTGCGGTGACGCTTAGCGCCTCCTTTACCGAGACCCTTTCCTCCTTTTCTTTTTTTTTTAAGAAACTTTATTTGGTTAGCAACAATTCAACATATAAAACAGACAGAGCCCCTTTTCTTTTAGAAACTTTATTTAGTTAGCAACAATTCAACATATAAACAGACAGAGCATAAGCAAGACAGCATATACATACACATACCTTAACACCTTACAAATCAAAAATGTCCCACAAGTCAGCGTCTTTGAATGGCGTGTTCAACGTCCGCAGTCTCTTTAGTTCAATTTTAATTTGTTTAAAAACGTCTCTGCTGGACACGAAATGTTGGTCTATGGTCATCCGACATCTTGTTTTCCAAAGTTTAGACTTTACAATAGCGATGATAAACCACAAGAACTCATGTTTCCTGTTATCTACTTTTTCATCAAAAATCCCATATATTATAGATTTCATATGTATATTTATTTCTAAACCCATATCCTTAACCATCTCCCACACTTCTTGAGAGCGATAACAGTTGAATAAAAAATGGTCTAAAGTCTCTTCTTCTTGGCAATTTGGCATGGGGCATAAAGTGGTTTTCACAAAGCAGCTCCATCTTACTACAGCTCTCACTGGCAGCCTTCTTACGGCCATCAGCCATGAGAGATCTCCCTGTTTGTCAGAAAGTTTTTTACACAGAAGATTTTTAATACACGTGTCATTTTCTTCTCCTACAAGATTTCTAAATTCTACCTTTGAGCCGTACTCTTCATCAGTTATTAACCCATATATCTTTTTATTTGAATCATTAATCCAATCAGACATGCTGTTTAGCTCTTCACTTGAGGGCTGAAAAGAGAGTCAATGGCAAATAGAGCGCTGTACGTGCCTGTTATGCTCCTCTACAGGACCTAGTTGAAACCAAGGCACGGGAGGAGGAGCCACGCACAACAGACACTACAGAGAAAACAGCAACACGATGGAATCAAGGAAAACACACAAAGCAAATACTGCCCACGAAATAAATATCACTCGTATTATTATAACTATCACTATCACCAATACTTTTATTAGTGGTATCATTTCACAGCCTTATAATATTATCAATACTCTATGTGCAATATGCTAAAATATACAAAGATAAAGATGTTTTGGTCTTTTATTTATAGTTTATTTTCTTAATTTTGTGAAGAATAGAATTTGTTTTTTATCTTTAGTATTATGCAAATTGTCTTTGTAGTAATAAGTAACAAACTGTAACCCTGTTAAGTAAGTGATAGGGTTAATACCTTGTTTTGTAATTCTCCCCTTATTACTTCTTTTCTTGAGGGCCTTGCTCTCCGTTTGCTGCTGCAGTACTGTGAATTTCCCTGCTGTAGAACTAATAAAGGGTTATCTCGTCCTATCTTATATCATGTCATTTTAAGTCGAAACATCAAAAATTATACAGAGCACAAAAGAAATATTGAACAGGCAAAGAAAGAAAGAAAATTTTTCATTGTGATAAAATTCATCTTAATTTAAGGCAAATTTAGGTCACTGTGGTTTGTCCAGGCTGCTCTACACGTAAAGAAAAACACTGTTATGAAGTAAGAAGTCTAAAAGAATAAAATAATATCAAAAGGTATGAATATGTATGAGTGTGTGTGTGTGTGTGTGTGTGTGTGTGTGTGTGAAAGAGAGAAAGAGAGAGAGAGAGAGAGAGAGAGTATTATATACAATATCCTGTGGTCAAACTGTGAACTGGCAAGTCTGAGAAAGACCGCTAGACTCCTTATTGTAAATGCTGAAGTACTATACGAAATTATGTGGTTTGGTCGTTATAATTACTGTAAAAGTATTGTAATTTCAGTTCCAATTTTATTTATGCAAACTCACAAACACAGTAATTCAATAAGTCATTCAGCTACACAATATTTCCACATATGAAAATACCTCTTATTCTACTATTTGCAGGTTCACATTTTGACCACACGAGGGCATCCAAGCTCCATCGATGACAAATCGCCCTCAGCCCAAAACACCTGGGGCGAACTGTCTGCGCTGTTTTCGCTTCTCTAATCAGCGAATTAATAACTAAACCACAAAATGGGTGCTGCTATGGTCCGAGTGTCTTCTGGTTATTTTGTTTTTAATTTAACAGCAGTTTTGAAAAACGGGAAATGGGTCAGTTCTCGTTTTTTGGTTCTTTTATTTTCAGTGGAAAAATCAAGAAATAGCTTCATTTTACTGTTTCACAAACTAATCGTTAAATCAAATATGAAACAGTGGAATAAAGGGTCGTATTTAATTCATCCATATTAAAAAATTCCTATCGTTTCAACCGGAAATTAGCGGTCAAATTGCACGTGTTAGCAGAAGCTCAGAAATCACTGAGATCAGGCGATCGGGTTAAAAATGATAAAGACAGAAAAGATGCATTAGTGTTGAGCAGACAGGCCTAATCCTGGCATTTTAGGAGACTATATGATGTTTTTACAGCTGTTTCTATATTTGATGTAGTTACTGTATCAGTAGAAGCTGAAGCGATATGAGGAAGAGACTCTTAAAGACTCCCGTCATTTAACAACGAAATCATAGAGAAATAAAAGTCCCGCTGCTCAGTAATGATGAGGAAATATAACACTGTAATGTGGCGCCGTTAGAGGAGAACTTCGTTATAGCATCTGTGTTTCTGCTCCAGATGTTGTGGGGAAAATGATTTGCAGCTTTGCTCCAGATTTGGAGACTTAAATAAAGCCCAATTTCTTTTATTGAGATTAAGACTCTCCAGAAAACAAGCGCTAATCTGAGTTGGCCCAGGCGTCAAACGACAAACCCACAAACATCCACGCTTTTATACTCATTTTTGGCAAGCAGGGGTCGACATGTGTGTCACGCATCCCCCTGGTTCTGACTATTTAGAGGACACCATTTCCCAGGATCCTCTGAGTGAACATATGACCATGATGTCATCCCACACTACCTATCAGAGATGTGCCTCACCGGATCACTGATTCTGTTCACCTGCTCTGTAGACCCCTGTAGTCGTGTCGTCATTTTGTGCTCTTATGCCCATATTAGGAGCTCCGGCTCTGAGCTCCATTTCTCTATCGGCCAGAATGAACAGGGTTTTCGAAAAATCGCCTCTAGCGCCCCCTGTGTTCAGTAAACATGTCCAGAATCCGATACGTTCTGTCCTGTGAACGTTCTTCTCTCGAACACCACTGGATCCTCTGAATTACGAGGTCGTTAAAGAGTTGAAATATGAATATTGCTACATGTAAGAAATGTATTTTAAATTAGATTTTAAATGCCATATTTAAAATCAATATAAAGGACAACATTTGTTGTGTAATTCTTTATTTTCCCAGTTAGTACAATTATAAACCCTCACTACTTATATTTATGATATGAGATCAGGTTTATGAGGTTTAATGATAATGAGTAGCTTTGGCCAATAATTGATTCAGAATATCTAATTCATTAAACCATATAAGTGCTGATATTATAAATAATTATTATTCTTTTGTTCTCTTTAGGGTACTTTTGGAATTTTTATTGCTTCTTCTTACAAATGAGACTAAATCTCCAGTTCGGTAGAGAGTGAGGTGGATGAGCTTGTCAGCAGGGCAGTTTGGCCATGTTTTAGTTGTAAACCAAACAAAGAGAATATGGATGTTAACAGTGTTACACGCTGTCTGTGCAAAATATAGTTAACATTATAAATTATAAATGTTTAAGTAATATTAGAAGGTAGCCTGGTTGGTAATAGTATGGTCACTATATTGTGGTATATGTTAATTATTGGGACAATGCAAGCTTTTAGGTGAAGCTCTGTTATGGTCACATGTGATGTCATCATAACTGAATGAATCATAATCATATTGTAATAATTATGCAGACAATTCTGTCTATATTGATATTATTGTCCAAGCTTGATGATATTTGAGATTTATAATCAGTGAGATTCATGAAGTTTATGGATTATGAGTATATTTTGAATATACTCATAATATATAATATAGAGTCTGGTGTGGGGACTGGTGTGT